TGACCCTTCTCTCCCCTCCCCACCCCCCACGCCAAAACAAAACAAAACAAAACAAAACAAAACAAAACAAAACACAAAGAAAAAAACCCCCACCCACATGCTTTCCCTGAAAAATAATCTAATCCGCCTGGGAGTTGCTACAACACATGTGATAGATGCTAGTACGATTAATTCTGTTGTTAAAAATCTGGGTTTATAATTCAAGATTATTTATAGCAGGATAACTTAAAATGTTCGGGGTCATTAGTACATTTGAGAGTTTGATCAAACCAATGTCCTCTCTAGCAAGAAAAATGCACATGCACACACACAAATTTAAAAATATATATATATTTTATTGATTTTTTTACAGAGGGGAAGAGAGAGGGATAGAGTTAGAAACATCGATGAGAGAGAATCATCCATCAGCTGCCTCTTGCACACCCCCTACTGGGGATGTGCCTGTAACCAAGGTACATAACCTTGACGGGAACCAAACCTGGGACCCTTCAGTCTGCAGGCTGACGCTCTATCCACTGAGCCAAACCGGCTTCGGCCACATAATTCTTATTACTCAATACTCAAAAAGGAATTCCTGTTCACATGGAGGAAGCATAAAAGGCCATTAACTTGGTCTAAACAAGCTTTCAAAGAACATAGCATCCATGAAAAAGAACAAAAGAACAGTTGAAGTACTGAGAAAGAAAGCACTAAGAAATTGTTAAAAAATAATTTAAAGTGATATGAAAAAGTAGCAAATAAATTTCAAAACGTAATAGAGAACTGAAATGCATAAATATATCACAATATATATTTATATATTGCATGAGGTCCCTAGAACCATAAGAAATGCAAAAATTCACTGTTAACTCATTCTCGAACCTTCCCCTTAAAAATCAAGTTGCCCCCCCTGTGGGGCCCACCTTAGGAATCACTGCTCTACACAAAACTGACAATAATAAGATTACTGAGAAGGCAGGGTTATAAGTCAAAGAATAGGACATGCGCTTCACCTGAGATCAGAGACACAGTATCTACAAGTTTGTAAAGCGCGGTCCCTTATCAGCAACATCTATTTCACCTGGTAATTTGATAGAAATGCAGACATTTGGGCCTCATCAAGACCTACAGAATCAGAAGTTCTGTGGGCGGGGCCCAGAAGTGCTTTCTTAAGCACTCTTTGGGTGATTCTGATGCTCAAGTTTGAGAAAAATTGCGCTAACATACATGGAGGGAACAGGGGAGCTGGTGCTCAGGTGTCTGGAGGTTGGAATTAGAGGGCCTGGGGCTTTCCAAGTCATAAGCAATCAAATCGAGATCAGAGGATCTGGAGAATCTGGTCTGTTTTCTCAGATACAAGAAGGAAGTAACCCCTAGCCTTCTGTATTCCAAAGGGCGGGGAAGCCTAGGAGCAGGCTTCTGAGCCCTTCGTTACCCAGGTCCACCTGGGCTCTGGCGGGCGTTAAAAAGAATTGAAAGAAACGGGGGGAGGGCAGTGAAGAAATGATGAGAGCCCAGGAGCCCCAGAGCCCCCAAATATGCAGCTACAGCCCAGATAGGTCCTCCTTATGGGTCCAAGACCCCAATCCCCACATACCATCAAAGGATGAACGAACTGCTCAGCATCGACTCCTACTTCCGGCCTCCAGCCAATAGGAACCCAAACTGCTCAACCAATCAGCGCCAGGGACTTCTTCCGGCGTCCTGCGTGCTGCCCTGGAGACCGGATGGGCGAATCCAAACGCGGAGGGGTGCTGAGTTCGCGAGGCCGGCCGCTGACACCGAGAGCCCCGCCTACAACCACCACTTTCTACCCCAGATCAGAGTCGGTGGACTCGTCCGAGGGCTGGGCGCGAGGCCCTTTGGGTTGAGGGAGGTGCCCTAGCCGCCATACTTCCAGCCAATAGGAACCGAAACTCTTCAGCCAATCAGTGCCCTGCGCTCTTTCTGGCGTCCTGCGTGCTGCCCTGGAGACGGCGTGGACGAATCCAAACGCGGAGGGGCGCCGGACGCTCGCGGCCGCCCGCTGCTTCTGAGCTTCCCGCCTGGCTTCTTTGCTTCGCCCCCGGTTTGGGGCCAGTGGACCCGTCCTAAGGGGGGGGGGCTAGGATTCCAGACCTGCGCACCAGAGGGAGCCGTCCAGCTGGTCAGTTGCATCTCCCACCAGAGACCAGGTGAGCGGCAGTTTTAGGGGCGAATCCTGGATTCGGGGCTCCCTCAACCGACGCGATTATAGACTGTGGGCTGGGGGGTGCTGCCCACCTACTCCCTCTTCTCCCCTCTCCCGCCATCCCTCGGTCCGAAGCCAGACAGAGCGCAGAGCCTGCAGTGAATTCGCTCAGGAGGCTCCCTTGTTGAAGTTCTTAGCCAAACGCCTTGCCGCCTCCTGGGTCTTCGGGGGAAAGGGTGACGCGGCCTGAGGTTCGCGGAGTGGAGCGAGCATCCCGAGGCCGAATTAAAACTGCTTGCGAGGCCCGGATTCCAGAGTTTTCCGATTCAGGAGGTCTGGAACGGGGCGCGAGGATGTGTTTCCATCCAGCTCCCAGGTGTTCCGGATGCTGCTCGTGCGGGAGTGAAAGGCGGGGATGATTGCGGGGAGGAGCCCAGTCTTCACCTGCGTGCGTGCCCCTGGGTCTTGAGTGCCTCATTTGCTTATAGGTGTGATTTGCTCTCACCTGTGGCTTTTCGGACGCTATCTAGTGAACTTGGGCATGAAAAGAGATGTAAACGATGCACCACGCTTTTAGAAAATGTGCAAGACTAAGCTGTCTGGGATTGCACACACTTGGGTGAGAAAAGAATGGAGAAACCCAAGGAAGTAATAACTGTGACAGTTAAGGAGAGCGATTGCTTTTGCGGGGTAGGAGGAGTTGTGATGACTGAGGCTCGTGGAGGGATTTCTGGGGTGGCCGCCCAGCGCTATTCCTGACCTGGGTGGGTGGTGATGACAGCGCTGTGCCTCGTATAATAATTCATTCAACTCTGTTTTGTGGGGTCTTATGTATTTGTGTTTTATTTTTACAACTTAAGAGGTAATTAAAAAAAAATTTGCCGAAACCGGTTTGGCTCAGTAGTAGAGCGTTGGTCTGCAGACTGAAAGGTCCTGGGTTCGATTCAGGTCAAGGGCATGTACCTTGGTTGCGGGCACATCCCCGGTAGGGGGTGTGCAAGAGGCAGCTGGTTGATGTTTCTCTCATCAATGTTTCTAGCTCTCTATCTCTCTCCCTTCCTTTCTGTAAAAAATCAATAAAATATATTTTAAAAAAATTTATAGTGGGAAGTGCATTGTGAAGCATGCCCTTAGACCGTTGGTTCTCAACCTTTCTAATGCCGTGTCCCTTTCATACAGTTCCTCATGTCGTGGGGACCCCCAAAACCATAAAATTATTTTCGTTGCTACTTTATAACTGTAATTTTGCTACTGTTATGAATCTTAATGTAAATATCTGTGTTTTCCGATGGTCTTAGGCCAGTGGTTGGCAAAGTCATTAGTCAACAGAGTCAAACATCAACAGTACAATGATTGAAATTTCTTTGGAGAGCCAAATTTTTAAACTTAAACTTCTTCTAACGCCACTTCTTCAAAATAGACTCGCCCAGGCCGTGGTATTTTGTGGAAGAGCCACACTCAAGGGACCAAAGAGCCGCATGTGGCTCGTGAGCCGCAGTTTGCCGACCACGGTCTTAGGCTCTACAGCATCTTTATCTGAGTGTATCCTAGCCAATTTATAAACATTTAAGTAAGGTCTCTTTAATTCTGGCTCAATATCTTCTTCATTTTAGCCATGTTTAATTTAATCACCCAGCTGTTGTGGCTCAGTGGTTGAGTGTTGATCTATGAACAAGATGGGGTTTGCAGAAGACAGCTGACCAGTGATTCTCTCTCATCATTGATGTTTCATACCTTATGAAATCAATGAAAATATAATTTTAAAAAAATCTTGATTTAGCAAACTTTTCCTGTAAAGGGCCAGATAGTAAATATTTGAGCGTGTGAGCAGACCATGTGGTCTCTGTGTTACAACTACTCAACTCTGACATTGTAGTGAGAAAGCGGTCTTAACCAATATATAAATGAATTGGGCATAGCTGTGTTCCAATTAAACTTTATATACTAAAACAGGCAATAGCCCTGACCTGTTTGGCTCAGTGGATAGAGCGTCGGCCTGCGGACTGAAGGATCCCAGGTTCGATTCTGGTCAAGGGCATGTACCTCGGTTGCGGGTGCATCCCCAGTGGGTGATGTGCAGGAGGCAGCTGATCAATGTTTCTCTCTCATCGATGTTTCTAACTGTCCATCCCTCTCCCTCTTTGTAAAAAATCAATAAAATATATATATTTTTTAAAAGTTTAAACACACACACATACACAAAACAAAAAGAAACAAACAAACACAAAAAAACAGGCAACAGGCTGAATTGGCCCAGGAACCAGTAGTTTGCTGAGCTCTGACTTCAAATAATATTATTTGTACAATATCTGTGGATTAGATGGAAATGCTGTCATTTCTGTATTTGTTTATGAAGTATGTTTACATACATTGCTTCATTTGTTCCTCATAATTTGAGGGTTAGTGGGACGTATACTGCCCAAGTGATCATATAGATGTGGACATAATGTGCTTTCCATTGTAGCAAAGGTATCAAGATACATTGCCTGAAATTGCATTCATTTCATGTTTTTTGTTTTTTTTTTGAAACAGCTGTCTTTTTCATTATTTTTGTTACGATCTTTAGGAAGTTGAATATTGGTTTGGGAATTGTTGTTTCTTTTATTTTTCCCATATCTTTTTTCATCCTGAAAAAAGAAAGACTCTGGTACTCAAACTTACTTGTAGGTGTTGAATGCCAGTGAATCTTAATGAATTTATAGAATTATTAGACTGACTTACATATTAAATATCCTGGGCTAATTAATCATACTACTAGTTTGCATTTATGGGTGTCTTTTTTGTTCCCACTTTAGGAGCTAGAGATGCCATCAGGCTGTCTTTCTACCAGGTGTGAGAGGTTGGCCCGGAGATGCAAAACTTCGTCCTGTACGAGGAGATCGGCCGGGGAAGCGAGACAATTGTCTACAAAGGCCGACGGAAGGGAACCATCAATTTTGTAGCTGTGTTTTGCACAGACAAGTGCAAAAGGCCCGAAATAACGAACTGGGTAAGCCAAGTATGTTTCCTTCCCTCTGGCAACAGACAGCTGCGATTGGGTAGAATAAGCAGTGTGTAAATAGAAGCCATGGAACTCACTATGGCAAGCGCCACGTTTTCAATCTGGACGCCGCCAATCCTGACTAATGACTGATCAACTTGCCCACGCCATTAACAACTTCAGAGTTTTGTTTGTTTTGGTAAGAGTTGGGGGAAATGCAGTCTGTATTAGTTCAGTTACTTTTAAATTTAGTATGTGATTATGAAGCTTTCCAAAGGAAGGGACTTTGGGGGAGGGTGACTTTTGAAATAGCTGTGCCACTTCACAGCCAGGCTCCGTGGACCAAACCTGACCCTTTTTTCCCCTCTACTTTTTTGTTTATTGTGGTAAAGTATACATAACACAAAATTTATCATCTTAACCCTTTTTTCCCCCTCTCTTTTGTTTACCCTCACTCGAGGATGTTTTTTCTATTGATTTTTAGAGAGAGTGGAAGGGAGGAGAGGTAGAGAGAGAGAGAGATCAATGTGAGAGAGACACATCAATTGGTTGCTTCTCATATGTGCCCCACCTGGGGTCGGGGATCTAACCTGTGACCCAGGTACATGCCTTTGACCAGGTATTGAACCTGAGACCCTTTGTTGAAGGGTAAACACTTTAATCACTTAGTAATACCAGCTACAGTAGCTCTTTTGATGTATATCTTTTGGCTATTTTCCTATGAATAATATTTCTTTTGCAATATTTACCCAAAATACACAGAATGTATTATTCTACAAGTTTTGAAAAAAATAATTTTTAAGGTTGTATGTTTCCATGTGACCATCCTTTATAATCATTTTGATGTCCATAAAGAATTCCTCCCAGTGAATTCTATTGTTTTCTTATCCATTTCCCGATTGTATATTTAGGTTTTATTTATTTATTTTTTAAATATATTTTTATTGATTTCAGAGAGGAAGGGAGGAGAGAGAGATAGAAACATCAGTGATGAGAAAGAATCATTGATTGGCTACCTCCTGCATGCTCCGTACTGGGGATCGAGTCTGCAACCCTGACGTATGCCCTGACAGGGAATTGAACCGGTGACCTCTTGGTTCCTGGGTCGACGCTCAACCGCTGAGCCACACCTGGCTGGGTGCTTTTTAATAGATGCAAGGGTTTTAAGAACTCTTTTTAAAAAGTGTGATTGGTGTGTGTTTTATAGGTCCGTCTCACCCAAGAAATTAAGCACCAGAATATCGTAACCCTTCATGAGTGGTATGAAACCAGCAATCATCTCTGGCTGGTAGTGGAACTCTGCACAGGTAAGCCACATTATGTGGTTTCAAAAAAAGTCAGATGTAGGTTTTGTTATTTTCCTTTCTTCTTTTACAGATACATGTTGATATTGTTGACTATGTTAACTTGAAAATCTGTTGTTTAATGGATATTAAGGGCTAAGATATTTGAGAAGAGGAAGATTTATAATAATCAATTCTGGGTTCAGCTTTACCTTGGTATAAAATATTACCAAACCACTTATGTGAAAATTTAGAAATATTTTTTAGTAGTAATTAATTTACCACATAACTTTTTTCATTCAATAAAAACAAAGTATTTTAGGTCCACTAGCTATTAATTAGCTAATTACTTTATAATTTTTTTTTTATGAACAGAATACTTGCTCTTTATAAAAACTTAAGCAATGTGGAAAAGTACAAGAATGAATCAACAGATACCACCACCTAGGAGTAATTAGAGATCACATGTTCTAGCTCTTGCTTGATACGACTCTCTAGGAGTATATACAGGGAGAAGGGTGACTGACTACATAGATATTATCTGGGCTTTTAGTGCCAGTGTCTTCAGGGGAAAAAATGAAACAAGTACCACGGTTAGTGTACTCCTGTTTGCACACCGAGGAAAACAGAGAGTCATTAAATATTAAGGCACGCTGTAATTATGTCTAACTTTATGAGTCTTACCTATTGGCACTTGGAATTTATAAAACTGAGTCACAGAGTGGTTTTGTCATTTCATTTGCTGAGTTGGTGGGGTTCTGTGGTTTGAATTATCGATACTTCCACAGATATGCACACAGGGAGCAGGGGACTTCTCTGTGTTATTATTATTATTATTATTTTTGCCTCAGTTGCTGTTTCTGGCCCATGACCAGTGTAATAGCCTAACTGTAATTTATGCCTGTGTTGGCCATGGTTCCTCACCCACCAAGACAAAATCAGCAAAACCCAAAACACCTGCTTCCTTTGTCACGGTAATTCTGATTGAACTTCTAGATGCCAGCTGAGACTTCACTGTCTCTGAATTTGGCTCTTGCTTTAATCTTGACCCTGAAAAAAAGAAGCAAACAAAAAACCCTCCATGTTTGTTTCTGTCACTGAGGTGATAGAAATGTGACTGGGACCTCCAGAAGGTATAGAAATAGAATTCCCCATGTGCCTGCTTTAGGCCCATTAATTCATCAGGGTTTGATTTTCTAACGGTTAAGGAAAGGCACCATCTTTTTTTGCTATGCAGTACATTTGCAGAATTCGACCTAACTTTATACAGGAACCAATGTGATTATACTTTGTGTAATGTCACTTAAATGCACTGTTTGTGTTAGTGTTTCCCACTAATTTTTGCAGCCATTCCTTTCCTGAAGGAGCTAGAGTGAGACATCTCAGCACCAGGGTGATTATCACTTCCTGCATCCCACCCACCTCCTCACTGAGCAGCCATGCAGACTGAGCAGTCAGTCCCCTGGGCTGGCCTGGATCGAGGACACAGGTTTCTGATAGTCTGATAGGGCGTTTGTCCATGGTGCTCACTCACAGGTGTGCTTCCCCTGCTGGGCTGTCCAGGGGTCCAGATTTGATCATTTTTTTTCATGCTCAGTGTCTCTCTCTCCAATGGAACTTGCTGGAGGCACCGTGTAATGCTGGGGAGCTAAAATGGGTGATTTTAATCAACTTGCAGGTGGTTCCTTAGAAATGGTCATTGCTCAAGATGAAAACCTCCCAGAAGATGTTGTGAGAGGCTTTGGGATTGACCTGGTTACTGGGTTGCATCATCTTCATCAACTTGGCATTCTCTTTTGTGACCTTTCTCCTGGGAAGGTAATTCATCAATGTTTTGATTTCCTAATTGCTTGTTCATTGACGGTGCTTTCTCAATGGTACATTTATTTTTAGATATAATTTTAGGTGTAGAACATCTTGAAATTTTGTGTTACCATCTAAATATAAAAGGTTAATATGCTAAGTATCCGTCTGGACATCACATAGTAATACCTGGCTTCCTTTCCCTAGCGTCTAGCCTCCTTACAGTTTCTTCAGCCCAGGAACCCAACTTGCTTTATAGCCAGGTGGAAACATTTTACACCTTAACCAAATGTCTGTGAAGCATTTCCCATGCCTCATCTTATTTGATCCTCACAGAAGTCTTGGAGTAGGTAGATAGAGACTCAGCGGAATCCTATTTTCTTTTCATTAGCCAGGAAACATATTTAGAAAGCTTAGAAACTTGACCCTTCTGAAAAGATATAAGAAATGGTGGACCTTGAAAATGTCTTCAGGTGTTCTCACTGTATAGCATATAGGCAAATACTACTGCAGTTAAATATTATACCCTTTGTTCTCCTTGCATGATCTACAATACAAATCTGCTTGGTGTTGATATTATTGCTGTGTTGCTGACAATTACCTGAAAGAGAAGTTGGGGTGCTTGGTTGACACTTCTGTTATGGAGAAAGGGCAAATAGCGATATTAAAATATTTCTTCTAATTTTCTCTCAGTGTGCATGAATTTGTGCACCAGGCCACTAGTTTTTTAATAAAAGGAAACTGTATTTTAGCTACCTACTTAGCTACCCATGGAAGTCCTTGTAGAATGCAGAGTTTCCCCTCCTTTCAGAGCTCTGTGAGTGATTATTATTGCTGCTGACCTGTATTGTGAATGGTGAGGTTCATAGCTCTATGAAATAATTCTTAATTCTTATAATACACAATTATGAGCCATTACTTTAGTTTGATAAAGGCATTTTTGGCTATTATGGATCATATAGTTTCTTTTTTGATTACGCTAGTCATCCATAAATAAATGTGCTTCAGTGTAGTTGTCATGAAACCTGCCTAGTTTCCTGGACACAGTTGACACTGACATTTAGGAGCCATGCTTTGGACAAGTTTCTCTCTCTCTCCCCCCACCCCCTTACTTTCTTGTCTCTAATATAAAAATGGGAATTTCAGGGCAAGTGTAAGGATTATATGTTGTATTTAGGACAAGCTTCTAGGACACTTTTTGGTGCCCAGTGCCCTCAATCAAGCATCAGTTACTATTTTTAGAAGTACATACTCTTAGAGAGATTGTATTGATTATGGCTCTGAGTTGCTACTGTCCCTTTGTTAATGTGTACACAATGAAATGGAAAGTTGAATGTTTCCTTGTTAAACATTATTAGAAGCCATCTGTATGAGAACATAATTAAACCTTAAAAAAATCTATAAAACTCCTCGTAACAGATAAAAATCCTTGTTTGAAATATTCATATACTTGCCTGAAGTCTACAGCCATTTCATTGTGGTTACAGCCCTGAAAGCAGCCATAGGCAGTATATAGATGCACAGGTGTGGCTTGTTTCAATAAAACTTTATTCATGGACATTGACATTTGAATTTTATATAATTCTTGCATATCAAGAAATATTAATCTTATTGCATTTTCCCCCCAAGCCATTTAGAAATATGAAACCACTCTTAGCGCATGCCTGTGCAGAAACAGGTGCTGGCTGAGATTTGGCCCAGGGGCTGAGGCGTGTGGGAGTTGTTTAGTGAGGTCTAGGATCAGCTGTTTATAATCTGGGACGTTCAGGCTGACTCCTAACGTAACTTTTATTCCTGAACTGGGGTTGGCAGAGTCTGGGCAGGATTCCTGTTCCTGTAAGTGAAGCTTTATTGGAACATGGCCACACCCTTTTAGTTCTGTATTGTTGGTGGTACAGAGTTGAGTAATCGGGACAAAGACCTTATGGCTTGCAAAGTCTGATTTACTAACTTAAAAAAAAAATTGCTGACCCCTCCCACTGGTTCTCAAAGTGTGTTCCCTGGACAAGCAGCATCAGTGTTCCCTGGGACTCATTGGAAATGTGGGTCCTTGGACCCACCGGACACCTGTTGAATCAGAAACTCTGGGAGCAGGGACTAGTAGTTCCTCTTAAATCTTCCGGGGGCTTCTGTTGCTCTGACACGTTAAAAGTCACTGGGGACTTTCAACAGAGATCCCTAATATTTCTGATTAGAAGCTAAGGGCAAACTTTAAATTGTTTTTAACAAAAAAAAGCCAGCTGACTCATTGCAGCTTCCCATTAAGTGTTTTTAGTGGCCGTGGAGAAAAAATGAAAAGTAACAGGACACTGGCTCCTGGCATGGTTCCAACACGCCACAGCTACCTTCTGGTCACAACTTACGTTAGAGACGTGAGCACTTAGCACGTGCCAGCCACTGTCCACAGCCCTTTGCACGCGTGACTGTGGTCTGTAGAGTTGCATATGCTTTTTTTTTTTTTTTTTTTCATTTTACAGGAGGAGAGAGAGAGGTTTAGAAAGGCTAAGCAAATTCTCCAGGTCAGATTGCCTGAAGTTAGGTGTCTAACATTAGAACCTTAGCCTTAGCCAGACATTCTATAAACAACACCTGACAGGTGTGCTTTCTGCCGTACTGTTCCATATACACTGCCCTTAGGGCCTGAGGTTTCCCTCTGTGGTTATTGATGTGTTCATTATATACATCTGAGAATGAACAGCTTAATATTTGATTCCATTATTATTAAAATGTTGGATTTATTTTTTATTTATTTTACTTTTTAAAATATATTTTATTGATTTTTTTACAGAGAGGAAGAGAGAGGTTTAGAGAGTTAGAAACATCGATGAGAGAGAATCATCAATCAGCTGCCTCTTGCACACCCCCCACTGGGGACATGCCTGCAACCAAGGCACATGCCCCTGACCGGAATCGAACCTGGGACCCTTTCAGTCCACAAGCCGACACTCTATCCACTGAACCACACCGTTTTTGGCTGGATTTATTTTTTTTAAGTTTCTGTAAAAAAATTTTTTTTTCTAATATATTTTTATTGATTTCAGAGGAAGGGAGAGGGAAAGAGAGAGAAATATCAACGATGAGAGAGAATCATTGATCGGCTGCCTCCTTCACGCCACCTACTGGGGATCGAGTCTGAAACCTGGGCATGGGCCTTTGGCCGGAATTGAACCTGGGACCCTTGGGTCTGCAGATGGATGCTCTATCCCCTCAGCCAAACCAGCTAGGGCTCTTTAGCTCCTGCTGCTTCTCCTCCTCCTCCTCCTCCTCCTCCTCCTCCTCCTCCTCCTCCTCCTCCTCCTCCTCCTCCTCCTCCTCCTCCTCCTCCTCCTCCTCCTTCTTCTTCTTCTTCTTCTTCTTCTTCTTCTTCTTCTTCTTCTTCTTCTTCTTCTTCTTCTTCTTCTTTAATATAAGCATTTAATTTTCTAAATTGTGATGAAGCAAGAAATACTTCAAAGTGCTTTAGTGAGAGCATGAGGTGCTGATGGAAGGGTAAATGGAGCCAGGTGCTGACCATGTCCATTTTTAATCTGTGTAGATACTCTTGGAAGGGCCCGGCACGTTGAAGTTTAGTAATTTTTGCCTGGCAAAAGTGGAAGGTGAAAACTTGGAAGATTTCTTTGCTTTGGCGGCAACGGAAGAAGGAGGAGGTGATAGTGGGGAAAACGTACTGAAGAAAAATATGAAAAGCAGAGTCCGAGGTATGTGGAGAGTTTTTAGATCCTAACTCTAGTTGTGGGCCACCTAAGTCATGTTAGGGGAGAATGCTGACCTTTGATTTAAAGAATGGAGGGAAAATAATAATAATGGCGAGGAGAAGTCTGGATACAGGGATGGCCTGTTGACGGCCTAAAGCAGTGGTCAGCAAACTGCGGCTTGAGAGCCACATGCGGCTCTTTGGCCCCTTGTGTGTGGCTCTTACACAAAATACCACGTGTGGGCGCGCACGTACAGTGTGATTGAAACTTCGTGGCCCATGCGCAGAAGTCGGTTTTCGGCTCTCCAAAGAAATTTCAATCGTTGTACTGTTGATATTTGGCTCTGTTGGCTAAGGAGTTTGCCGACCACTGGCATAAAGTTTTCCCGTGCGGACCTAATACTATGTAGGGCACCCGAACCCCTGACCGCCACTGACCACACGTCAGACCATAAGCAGCGGGGGTTTGGCCTCACTCCTGGCCGTGTCCTCAGCACCTGGCACAGTGCCTGGCACATGCTAGTGGCTCAGTAGTTATTGGTTCCACATCGCTGAGCAGCTGATATTTGCCATTAAGGAAGACTTTTAGGGGTTCACTCTTGGACGGTGGTTTTGACAGTGAGCTTCGTCCTGGGGTGTTGGCTGTCCTTGAGCCCGTGTGCAGTGCTGGGTGCTGTCTCTGCCTGGATGACTGAGGCGGCGCCTGGGGGTGGAGCCTCTGTCAGGCTCGGTCTCTCAGTGTCTGGGCATCAGCCCTCGGCTGACCTGGGCCGCACTGGGGTCTGCATGATAAACAAGCTTTGCTGTAAAATCAGGGGGAATGTAGGGTGTTACTGCTGCGGAACTTAACACATCCTGTCCAAACTATTCTAACCAGTGCTGCTTTTCTTTTGTCTATTTAAATGGTTAATTTAAAAGAGAATAACTATGGACACAAAACTCTGGGGAGGGAGGGTGTGAATGTGGGGGGGAGATGGTAAGGTATGTACACAGATAATAATTTAATAAAAAAAAATCAAGGGGAAAAATAAATAAAAGAAAATAACTATGCCTATATGTGTCATACCTCTGACTTAGCTGGGTTTTTGAAGTAACTCTGTTTATATTTTCACATATCCTGGTAAAATGGAACCTTAACACTCAGAGTCATTAAAAGATGTGAAATGCACATGTAGTTTTGTTCATGTGCATATTCTCCTCCTCAGTTTTCCCTCCTCAGGTCTCTCCCAGGCGGGTTTGTGTTGAGAACAAGACGAACGCCTAACGGAGCTGTTGCTTGTACTTCCTCTGTAGGGTCGCTCACATACACAGCGCCTGAGGTGGTGAGGGGCTCCGACTTCTCCGTCGCCAGCGACCTCTGGTCTCTGGGCTGTCTGCTGCATGAGATGTTTGCAGGTTAGTACTTTCCGCTTCCTTTTCAAGTCACAACTGGATAAACACAAAGGTGAAATTTTGTAAACGTTTCACCTATAAGATATGAAAAGGCTGGTTATTATTTTAACTCAATTTTTAAAAAATATATTTGTAATGATTTCAGAGAGGAAGGGAGAGAGAGATAAAAACATTAAATGCTGAGAGGGAATTATCGATTGGCTACCTCCTGTACGTCCCCCACTGGGGATCGAGCCCACAACCCGGGCATGTGCCCTGACTGAGAATTGAACCATGACCTCCTGGTTCATAGGTCGATGCTCAACTGCTGAGCCACACCAGCCGGGCAAAAGGCTGGTTTTTCTAATTTCTGTCTATACTGATTTTGGCTGAAGTGCTTGGAGTTTAGGCATATTCAGGTCGCTAGGACCTTTTTGGCTTATATGTATTTTTTGTGAAAATCTGGAATATTGAAATGTGTCTAACTATTAAAGAGCTGTGCTTATTGGTAGAAATTCTTGCAAAGCTACCTGTGAATGACTTATTCCCATGTGTCCAGTAGCCCCATAAACCGTGGGTCCTGGTAGGTTCTATGTGTGAATTTGTATATTGGTTGGAGGGATAGATTTTGAATCATGGAAATATAAAAATACATAGACAGTGTGCCTGGTATGTACTAGACTTTCAATAATCAGTTATTGCTAGATGAACATTTGTAAATTGTGTAATGCTGAACGATCTGCAGTTTTTTTTTTCTTCCCAGAATTATTGGTGATGACAAATGTATTTAATTGACAAGTTTTCTTGTAATTTCAGGAAAACCTCCATTCTTCTCAGAAAGCGTTTCAGAACTAGTTGAAAACATTGTCCATAAAAATCCTTCGCCACCTATTCCAAAAGGTAGGATTTTGGTTACAAATGCAGTTAATTTACACTTTACACTGACTACAGGGGCACTTTTGTTATCATTTTTATTGACTCATGACCTCCCAATTTACATTTTATAAGTGTTCCCTAATTAATATTAATATTTTTAGAAATGTTAGCATTCCCTTTGCCATTTTTTTTTTTTTTTTTTTAGATACTGAAATGGAAAAGTAGTAGTTTCCTCACTTAAAGTCACACATTACTTTGCCCTTCTATATCTAGCAATGTCTGGTTTACAGATTGAGAAGTCAGACTTCTATTTAATTTTTTGTCTCTGTGTCGTTTATCTAATTTGGACTCATGTCCTTCCTGGTTATTCCTGGTTAGTGTTTGCGTAGTAACGAATCGGGCCTTCTCAGCCCTTGTCTTGATGATCAGAATGCCACCCTGGCAAGCTGGTAAAGCCTTTGGAAGGAGATATAGAGTAGTATTTTAAGTGTTGGGATTTTAATCACACAAATTGTGATTAATATAACCATCTACTGTTAACAATTTTAAGGAAAGGAAAGAAAAACAAAAGCAGGCACAAACATAACAAAGCACTTTGCTCTGTACCACCAGAAAAGTGAATCTTAAGCCACATGAACGAAAAGAGTACCTTACAAAAATAATATTGAGAATTTTTAAGAGGAAAAAAAAAAAATTGGAAGTCATTCATGGAAGAAATAGGAATACCGGATATTTTCAATTTTTCAAGAATCACCGCTAGGTGAAAAAAACAAAACTCTTGATATTTTGAAAATAGTCTATATTTCTTAAAACAAAACGCATTTTTTTTTCTTTCATTAACTTCATCTTATTTTTTGTAGAAATCAGTTATTCGTATTTCTTCTGACGACTTATCAATACAGTATTATTGTTTTCTCCTATAAGTTTAAGGTTTTTATGCAGGGAAGGAACCTGGAAATGAGGTGCCAAAGGTCTGGCCAGGTACCACTGGTGGCCCACGCTCGCTTATGTCATGGTACCTCATCAGACGGTGACCAGAGTGCCTGACAGTGCCTGGCCGTGTCTTTAGTCATTGTCTTCATGGCTTCTTATTTTAACCATTTCTGATAATTGGGCCATGGTGTGTGTATGTGTGTATATGTATAATTTAGAAAGGCAAAGCTTGGAGATTAAGAAAATTGAACAATATCATAATGTTGTGATGCTTATTATTTTTCCTGCTAAAAATAAGGTAAAGAGGAATAACATGTATTCTACTCATAGTATATTACACCAAAATTAGTTAAATTAATAGTAAACACCTCAGAAAATGGGGCATAATTACTAGTGGAAGACAAGGATATGAGTTTGTCAGGCCGGTAATCTGGCGTTAGACAATCAACTGATTTTAGTGGTTGGTTGAAATTTAGTTTTCTGTAGTATAGGAAAAAATATTTTTAAAAAATTTGTGCCCCTCTCTCCTCTATTTAAATGGGAGTTTAATTGTTATTAGTAGACTCAGTGTTCTTTTTAAAATAATTTATGTGCTGAAAATACCATGACTTTAAATGCTGATGTAAGGTACGTATTCATCTCCTTATCACTTTTTTCTTTTTTCCTTTTTGGGACTTAATTTGTGTACAGATCCTTCTCTTCCTAAAGCGTCTCCAGATTTTATGAATTTGCTGGATGGTTTGCTTCAAAAGGATCCACAGAAAAGGTCTGTGTGGATGATACTGTCTGTAATATGAACGACAAGTGGGATCTGTTTCTCTTCCATGCACTTCTGAAATAGCACTGTTCCTAATGCACACGGAGGGTTCAAACTGCTTTTTAAAAAAGGAAATCTGAGTTTACACCGAGGGTTTTTCTTTCCCGTGTTTTTAATGAGGAATTTTAAGTAATTTTCTCTCTTAATGTATTAGTTGCCTAATAGCTTGATGGATTCTCTTGTGAATCCAAGCAGCTTAGTCCTTTCCATTGTAGACTTCAGGCTAAGCTCCCTTTGACTGTTGGACTAGCGATGGTACTGTCAAGATGGTTGATTTCATCACACTAACTAAGTGGTATTTTGTTTTATTTTTTAAAGTATATATTTTATTGATTTTTTTTTTTTTTTTTTTTTTTTTTTTTTTTTTTTTTTTTTTTTTTTTTACAGAGAGGAAGGGAGAGGGATAGAGAGTTAGAAACATCAATGAGAGAGAAACATCGATCAGCTGCCCCCTGCACACTCTCCATTGGGGATGTGCCCGCAACCAAAGGCACATGCCCTTGACCAGAACCGAACCTGGCACTCCTCAGTCTGCAGACCAATGCTCTATCCACTGAGCCAAACCGGTTAGGGCCTGAGTGGTATTTTAATGCGATATATTTTTATGATGCCCCTGCCACTGTGGAGACATCAAGTGACAGGAAAATTGCATGGTGTGAAATCTCTGTGTTGCAGCGTGGAGAGGGGGTTTCCCTGGCCTGGGAGTCCAGAGCAGTTGGTTCCTAGGTCTGGTTCTGCCCCTAGGTAACTGCCCCTAGGTAACTGCCCCTAGGTAACCGGGAAAAGGGAGTGGGGGTGCGGTTGTGAAGTAGGTATTTGGGTCTCTGCCTCAGTGTAAAATAATGAGTGTATTTAACATAGCAAATAAAACACTCCATTCTCTGTCTTCTTTAAATGTAAGAGAGACCTGGCAGAAGGAAAAGCTGTTCTTTTGTAAATTTTAGGACAAATCTCCCATGCTTGTAACAGAATGCCTTTAGGATTAGTGCTATTTTGGTGGATAATCTTCCAGACATCTTTTGATAGGCTAGAAGCATACGTTATTTAGGATGATATAACTATATTTCCACCTACTCTGTTGTATACTTTTTTTTTTTTCCGTAAATGGGACCACCCCATAAGCTACTTTTTTCTCTCTCTATCTGCTTAGTCATTTTTTTTCTTTTTTAAATATATATTTTATTGATTACAGAGAGGAAAGGAGAGGGAGAGAGATCAAAACATCAATGATGGCCGAAACCGGTTTGGCTCAATGGATAGAGCGTAGGCTTGGGGACTGAAAGGCCCCGGGTTCGATTCCGGTCAAGGGCATGTACCTTGGTTGCGGGCATATCCCCGGTAGGGGGTGTGCAAGAGGCAGCTGATCGATGACTCTCTCTCATCGATGTTTCTAACTCTCTATCTCTCTCTCTTCCTTTCTGTACAAAATCAATAAAAATATATTTAAAAAAACAAAAACAAAACATCAATGATGAGAGAGAATCATTGATTGGCTGCCTCCTGCACACCCTCTACTGGGGATCAAGTCTGCAATCTGGGCCATGACCTTCCGATTCATAGGTCGACGCTCAACCACTGAGTCACGCCGGCCGGGCTACATCTGCTCTGTCCTTTTGACTGGCTGCCGTGTGTACATGATAACCTGTCCTGGCAATAAGCACTGAGAGTGTGTCCTGACTTAGAATACCATACATACTGCTACAGGAAATAGCCTTTGAGTATAATTTTGTTGCTCACCTGGGCAGTTTTCTCTTTTGGATAAATGCTGGCCAAACGCTAAGAGCGCTAAAAAGTGTGTTACGTGTGCCTGCATTCGGGGAACGTGTGTGAAATAATTTCCACTCCCAGCAACGCTAGGAGGCTCTTAACCCACCAGTTACCTGCCACAGGCTTTGCTGATCTCACACACTTTTGCCAATCTTACGGATGGAAAAGAAATTCCATTTTACTGACAATTTATCTCTCCATGAGCGAATTTTAAGAGTCTTTGTATACATAGTTGTAAATTCTTTCTCTTTATCATTAGTGTTTTAATTTTGATCAAAGTATAATAGTTTTCACTTCAATTCAGAAATGTTGAATGATTAGATTAATTAAATATAAGCTATTTTCTTCTTTTGTTTTGAAATTTCAGTCAGGTTTGACCTTTCTGAATCTGATGAGTATACCTGGAGGTATAATAATTGATTAGTAGTAAAACTTAATGCTTTGAGAGTGAGTCTGGGTTTTAGATAGAGTCAAAAGTTACTATAATGTGGGTGACAACAGTTAATGTAGTTAAACAACATTTTGGCACCTAAGCAGAGATGTGACTGTATATAGTCATGAAGTTGATATTCTTGTTTATTTCTGAATGAAGTTATGAGAGTGAAGTTCCACAAATGAAATGTATAAAACAGGTAGGTACTTTAGGAAAAATCAAGCCTCTCTTGGGGCAGAAGTATAGGTTGGTAATATGTGATCTATTTACTTTACATTTTTAAATTATTGATAGATTTCTTCATTGACTGTTTGAGAACCCAAAGTGTTTTCATCAAGCTTCCTGGATATGACCCCATGAGACTACTTAATTGTCAGACTCTTTCATTCTGTACCAGTTAAGGCTTCTGAATTATCGATTGTTGTTTAGAGAATTTAACTGTATACTGAAATGAAAGAATAAAGTATCACACAATCTCAGGGGTACATTTGCATGGAGATATTAATAAATGATAAAATCTGATTCCTATAAGTGGGACATGTCCTGGGACTTCCCCCTGGAAATTATATTAACAGGATTTTAACATTTGTGTTTTATAAGATTAACTTGGGCAGGCCTGCTGCGGCATCCGTTCTGGAAGGATGCTTTTACCGGAAAAGACCAGGACGCAAGCACCGAGGACTTCAGCATCAGGTAGGATCAGTTTATCTTTGTGTGGGGGGCATGGCTGCTAAATACCTCTACCCATTACTGTTCTAATGAGGCAGCATCCATGACAAGAGTTTCTGTGCTTTCAAAGTAGAAAAATCAAGCATTTGTTTAAGGGTTGTTTAAAGAGTCTTGTCATGACATTTTTGTGTTCTTGATTTTGCAGATTTTCCGATCAGTTGTTTACACTCAAGTTACTGACTTAGTATGGTAGTTATCAGTTCTGTTTACCAACTACAAGTGGGTTCCCATCTTGCAAGCACGGGGGAGGACCTCATTTCCCCCTCTCAGTTAGGTATTAGCCACGTGACTTGGCTAATGGAACGTGAGCAGAAGTGACATGTGTTATTTCTGGATAGAAACTTGAAAGCCATTGTGTGATTTGCTGCACTTCTCCTGGCGAGTTAATTGGGAAGAAAAATGTCAAAACGGAGTTGCTGTCAGGCTGGGTCTTTAGTGCCCACGATGAGCATATCTTTCCTACCAGCCTGCATGTCTGTGTGCGAGGAAGAGACACAGATGCTGAGCCACTGGCATTTGAGGGGTTGTGTGTCACCACAGCATAACTAGCTCATCCTGACCAATATACTTTGTTTTTATTATAAAAACCTTCTTAGCCTGGGACACTTACAAAATTGATGGTATTTGGAAAAGAACAGGTGAGAAGTAGCTGAATAAAAGTTCTGGTAATTGACTTCTCCCCCTTCTTACTGCATTGTGATAAATGGTTGTCTGAGCCTTAATTTCAATCTTGGCAAGTTCATTGTATTGGATAATTGGATAGAGGAGTCTGAATTCTATTTGGATTCTTTCCCAAACTTGAGTTTTTCTGATCCAGTGAGCTTCAGTTATGCTCTCACTATTGTATTAGGTTCTACAGGAAATTGGGCTCTGGTCCACCGTGTCAGCAAGTCACAGAATACCCCCCACCTTAGTTTGTCATCTTCCTTTGTAACCTCCTTGTCTTTATTTCTCTTTTCTGCCTTATTGCCCTTGCTAGGACTTTTTTTTTCTAGTAAGATACTGAATCAGGAGTGATGGAAACGAACATCCTGGCTTCTGCTTGTAGGATGAGAGTGCCTTTCCCCCTTAAGAACGATGAGTGGAGGTTTCTGTAGCTGCCCTTTTTCAGTTTGGATGAACGTTGAGTTTTATTGAATGCCTTTATGAATTAGGTAATGTGACCATGTGGTTTTTCTTCTTTTGATTCTCATTATGGACTCTTTCATAAATTGGCTTTCAAATGTCAAACCATCCTTGCATTCCCACAGTAAAGTTACTGTGTATTCTGCCTTTTGTCTTGCTGAATGTGCTTGGGGCCCAGTGGCGGGAGGACAGTGAGAGGGGTTGAGAAAGAGAGCAGAGCCCCAGGGGTTTGCCTCACATTCCTGAGACCATAGCTTTTTGGTTAGAGCAGGGGATGACCCTCTGTGAGTGTTAGGCACTGGCCAGGTGCTGCTGCTGTTCCCAGCCAGCTGCTGCAGGGTTAGCTGGGGACGGGGGCCAGGACAGAACGAAAAGAGAAAAAGAAAGCCTAGGGAAATCCCCTGCTGACCCCAAAGGCTCCTTTCTTGTCCTTGGAACAGGTCCCTGTTCTCTCGGCTTCCTCTGTCTTCTCGCTGCCTCCGAGCCCAGGCTGGGCAGCACTGGGAGGGGAGAATACCGGGAAACTCACGGCTGGTCAGGCTACTTGGAGTTCTGGTTTCCGCCCCCAGTTTGCCGGCTGCCATTTATTTTCCTGGGATAAGGCGTATGGACTTTGTCATACACCGCCCGCATGTAGTGGTGCTTTTTCGCTACTTGATGAAAAGCACCCCTCTTCTCACTCCATGGCTTTGCCAAATGTCACGTGGAATTCAGTTATCATCTCCAACCTCTTGTTCTACACAGGAAGCTGTGTGGAAAGCTCACAAGTAAGTTTGATTGTGTTGACTTTCTCCTGTTGAACAGCAGAAACACGATGGAATGCTCCGGGTCACAAGATGCCAAGGAGCTGATGAGGAGCCCTCCGAGCGGACAAGCCAGAGGGGAGAGGAGTGGTCAGCGGCCGGGTCGCTCTCTGAGACTAGGTGGGCTTTCCTTTGAGCCTGTGTGTGCCCCTGAGAATGCTGAGTCGGAGAGTTCCCTCCACATTCGTGTTGTCTCTCTCTAAGTCCCGCTCATGGGACTCGTTCCTTTATGGCTAATGTCCTCCTTTCCTGCCACAGAAAACCCAGCTGAGTTTCGGCCTAACAATACTCTTGGGGGTCAGCTGAACGAGTCCATGTTCCTTCTCAGGTAGGTAAAGTGACTTAATTGTGTGTGTGTGTGGGGCGGGGGGGATGAAAGTACATCTTATTATAGCATCTGCTGTCCTGGTTTTTAAAAACTTTGTACACTCCCTGGCAATTCCTGTGAGCTAAGTCAGTACTTGTTTAATGAATGAATAAACAGTTAAGGAAGTGAAAGAGAAATGAGAATACTGATGTTTGGGAAGTTGAAGGAATCTGCTAAAGAAGACCCTGGTGATCTGAGTGAATTTCTTAAAATGTGAAAAACTCAAAATCAGAGAGTCGGGGGGAATGGAGTGGCCCATCGGGAGCACGGAGGCCATTGACAATGTGGGAGGAGTAATCACAGTGGGTGTGGGTTTCATATAACTCGTCACTCGGTAGGCACCAAGACACCTTTCCATATGGAACACTTTCTGAAATCAAATGGTGAATATTGTTCGTCCTTTGTAGAATATCTGACTTACTTTCTTACGTTAATCCTGCTTACACCAGCAGACATTTAAAGAAGAATAAAATCACTGTCGTAAGGTTTCCAGTAAAAACAGGAAATACTGCACGGAGCATAGGAGCTGTAAACAAAAGAAACAATAAATTAGCCAGGGAATTACTTGAAAAAGTTATAAAAATGATAGTCATGTAATCATAGATAAGATTAAGTGGGTTTTTTTGTTTGTTTTTGTTTGTTTTTTAATATGATGAGATCACAAAGAATTGACATTCTGCGGGTCACGTTTCTGACGTGTGAATAATGGTCCCTGGTGTGTGTGTTCCAGTTCTCGTCCGACGCCGAGAACCAGCACTGCCGGGGGGTCAAGTCCTGGTGAGGGCGTGGCCCAGAGTTCACCGCAGAAGGCGCCTCCTTTGACCAAGGTGAACAGCGATGGATTGTTTTTTACACATGAGATATAGAGATTCTAAAGAATAATTGCAAGTTGGTTTCCGAACTATGTTCATGATTATAAAATTTACAATTAAGTCATTTCCTCATCATTGGTTTTTCTAGTAAGCACACTTAAGAGAAAGGTGCTTTATAGTTTCTTTCTTTTTTAAAAATAACAGCTTCATTGAGCTGTCATTGAATACCACTAATTCACCCATTTAATTTACCTATATGACAAATCAAAGGAGACTCCCTGTCAGTGTTGTGAGTGTCAGTGCAGGTACGTTATAGATGGCCTCGCTCAGCATCTTATCGGTCCAGGCTGTTAAAAGCTCTCCATCAGGCACAGACACAGAGTCTAATTTCCGTTCTCGTTTCAGACCACAGGTGCGCCCCTGAGCCAGCAGGACCTGGAATCCCGGATGCGGGAGCTCATCTACACGGACGCAGAGCTCGTCGTCACACCCATTATCGACAACCCGAAGGTGCGGAGGGACCCCCCACCCCCCGAGGGCTGGGCCTTCCATTTCCCTGAGGACTGAAGTCTGGGTGACGTTTTCATTTCTGTTCCCCTTGTTGTTCACTTTGATTTCGTTCGAGCCACACACATGGCTACACGCCTACCTCCTGCCCTGTCTGTAACCCTCCCCCCTTCCTGCCTGGGCGGTGTTCTTCCTGCGCCCACCCACCCTGCCTCCCATCAGTCCAGCGGGCCCAGGAGTGGCTGCTGACTCTGACCTTAGACCTGAGTCCTCAAGGCCTTCCTTTCTCAACTCGTGCTTACCGTGGATCACTGCAGATGTTCTAGTTGATGGTGTTACCAAGGCAGGTGGCACTGAGCACCGCTCACCTGGTGTGGCTGGGTGGGCCGATCGCAGGGACCACGCCCTCTCATAGGTTCTCAGGACGCAGGTGGGCGTGGCAGGTCCTGGGAGCTTGGGGGCTCTTGGTTCACTTCTACCCCAGGGGATTCTGTTGCTTCTTGTCTTTTATGTCTTCTTATGGGAGACAAACCTTACAGCATTCTTTTCTGTCCTCACTAATTTATACTCTGATACAGGCGATAAATCAGGAGCCAATGTCTGTCTCAAAAGATGTTCTTTTTTTTCTTCTCTTTGAAACCACAGATCATGAAACAACCACCAGTTAAATTCGATCCAAAAGTATTGCATCTACCAGCATATTCAGGTAGGCTCATAAAGGCTTAGACACTCTGTAGACAGAAATTTAATAGCAAATAGAATATTTTATTCACGAATAGCTGAATTTCTATCTTCTTGCCAACTGGTTGTTTTCCTGGCAGTGTTATGTAAATTGTAAACGACCTGTAATCCATTTGTGCCAGCTTTGGACCGTACTCAGCTGAGTCTGTGCTGCCCTGTGCTCTTGTGGGCGGGGGAGTTCCTGAGAAGCTGGCGGGTTTTCCTGTCACATGGGTGGGCCCTTCTCCTGCCCTTCCCCTGGTGAGCCGATTGAATTGCCAATGTTTATGGTGTTATTGTGGGTGTGGAGGGTTGGAGACCATAATGAAGAATTGGGAGTCTACTCAAGGAAGCCAGGGCAGTTGAGATTGGGGCCAGATGGTTCACTTTTGTGAGGATGGTGTGGGAATGGAGATACTTAAAAGAAGATTGTTATGTTTCCTTTCACCTACTGGAAAGTCTGATTTAGGGTGAACATCAGAAATTAAAAAAAACGAAAGAAAGAAAGGAATTTAGAAAGAGGGGACGGGAGAGGGAGAGAGAAACATCTATGTGAGAGCAAGCCATCAATCCATTGCCTCATGCATACCACACCCCCTACTGAGGATTGAGCTGGCAACCAGGCATGTGTCCTGACTGGGAATAGAACCAGCGACCTTTTGGTGCATGGGACAACGTCCAACCAACCAACCAGGGCAGAAATGTTTTTAAACCATAAATTTGGATGTATTTTATTTGATAAAAGCTATTGAACTAGATTTGGGAAAACATCATCATCATAGCTAGAATAGAATCTCTGATATGAAATCAAATCAGAGTAAATAAAAACATAAAATATAGTCAAATTTAAATAAGCCATGCCAAGTAGAACACACTATTTATGAAAATGTAGAGGGTTATTATCAAAATATTATTCCTTCCCCTTTGCCCTTTACTCTGAGTTATTCTGGGAAATGACTGTTGTTTGAAGGTGGAACTCTGCTCAGCAGTGTTAACTGTGGATACGTCTCTTTCCTAGTTTGGCCTTGTGTTGGTATAGAGCAGTGGTCAGCAAACTGCAGCTCATGAGCCACATGCGGCTCTTCGGCCCCTTGAGTGTGGCTTTTCCACAAAATACCACGGCCTGAGCGAGTCTATTTTGAATAAGTGGCGTTAGAAGAAGTTTAAGTTTAAAAAAATTGGCTCTCCAAAGAAATTTCAATCATTGTACTGTTGATATTTGGCCCTGTTGACTAATGAGTTTGCCGACCACTGGGATAGGGACTTTGAGGCAGGATCCCAGGTGACTTGAGCTGCTGTATTCGCCTTGTGATGTTGAAGAGTAATCTCCTTGGAACTTTTCAACAACTGTAAAAATTTTGGCTTTTCTAATATTTTAAGGCTCGATTGCTTTATTTACAGAAAGATGCTTGCTTTTTCATAATACAATTTTACTGAACTTTGCATTTTGTTAGATTCTCATTTGCAGGATAATTCTCCCTTAGCATCTTTTTCCCCCCCCAGCATCGTTACAGAAAACGAAAGAGTATAAAAGAGTCAATGAGAGTAGGGTCAGCTTTGGCGTAGTTTTGATTTTGACATTGTGAAGTCATGACTTTTTTGTCCTCAGCTATTGAAGTTCTGTTCCATTTTTGGCGGTGCTTTTCCACGAGGCCCACTTTCAACATCTCCTTTCCTCTCCAGCGGAGAAGTTAGTGTCGCTGAAGGATCAGGATTGGAACTGCTTTCTGCAACAAGTGTGCTCGCAGATCGACTGCCCCGAGAAGACCATGGGCGCCTCCCGGGCCAAGCTGAACCTCCTGTGCTACCTGTGCGTGGTGGCCGGGCAGAGGGAGGTGGCCACCAGGCTCCTGCACTCCCCCCTGGTAGGTGGTTACGTCGTGACACCAAGACTCCTCGCATGGTCCTCACAGCATGCCTTCTGCGTATCACTCATGTGTATCTAGAGATTAAAACGAGAGCTGAATTATTAATTTGTTCCAATCACAATGGAAAAGGAATTTATCAAGATCATAGGTTTGTCAAAATTATCCTCTGTTTCTTCCTGAAGTCTAAAAGCAGTTGCATAGATAGTGATTTTTGAACTTCTTTTGCTAACACTCTGGCTTGCATTTTATGTTGACTGGTAATAATTGTGTGATACTTTTCACATCTGAAATCATAGGACAGAGATCAGTTTGTGGAATGAGCTGCCCCTATGGGCTAGAGGGTCCTTGATTGGGCCACCTGGTGAACCCCAAGGGTTCTGATCTGACACTGAAGGGTGACATTGAGTCCTAAGACTTTCCCCTTGGTCATACTATTCCTCGGACTGGCTTGTCATGGGGTGGGGGTTGGGTCCTAGGAGTTGGGCAGAGCCTTGGAAGTCACCCCCAGGAGGAAGTTAGAGTGTCTGGGCTTTCTCCATAGTGGGGTCATTGGGAACTGGCTTAAAAATTAAGTCATTTGCTTTCAGGATAGTTTTAAGGTTACTTTTTTTGGTACTTGGTGTGTGTTTATGGCACATTTAGGGAATATAAGTGGGTATGAGAAACAGAAAGTAGTTTTTATTTTATATCCTCAATGCTTTTGCATTTTTGTGAATAATTAACTTCTTAGTGTGGCATCCCCATCTCAGTTGTATGCAGGTCTGAGATTTTAATTGTGCAGTTCCTGTCTATGGGGTTTCATGAATGAAATGTATGTCTTCATCTTTATCCTAGTTCCACCTGCTAATCCAGCATTTGCGAATGGCTCCAAACTGGGATGTGTAAGTAACATTTCTATTTTACTAATTTGTTCTTCGTTATTTTATTAAGTTACAGCATACATGTTTATCAAAAGCACATTCTAAGTACTTACTCATAAAACATTCTTGGTAATGATGATTGAGTCACCGGCAGTTTCTCTAGACATCCCAACACGTAAGATCTCAAAATAGTCCTTATCCTGATATCAGGACTATAATTCTCAGATTATGCAAAGCTTGTCTGGAGACATTATTAACTTACTCTTCGGAGTATTCTATATCTAGTACTTACCCCTGATTCTGTGCTTTAATTTAGTTACGCCTTCCTAAGGAGTTTTCCCTTGCCACTGTGTCTTTCTTTTACCTCACACCTAGCTTCCTTATGGTGTTATTTAAAGTCAAATGGTATTATGATCTGTCAACTCTTGGTGGGAGCATGTGAACTTGCTCATGGAGACAGCACGCCACGGCGAAAAGCACATCAGCTAACGCGTTAGAAGGCTCTGGGCTCTGACTGTCAATGAGACTTGACCAGGTGACGCCCTCTTCCCGAGCCTGTCTCCTGGGGAGCCTCTGTGGGGCAACGGGATTGCATGGGTTCGGATACAGACAGATCTGAGTGTGGATCACAGACTTGCCCCCCTGGACACATCTGCTTTAACTGCGGGGCCTCAGTTTCCTCATCTGCAAAACGGGGGGAGTGTATTCTCTTCATAGGATTTTGGTAGAATTAAGCTTCGCATGAGGCCAGCATAGGAAAGTCCTCACACAGTGCCTAGTTCTCAGTGGGGTTAGTGTATTGGGGTGTGGAAGTCATAGTTGTTATCATCAAGCTTATGTCCCCGTCAGCAGAAGCCCGTGGGGACAGGCAGAGGAAGGGGCTTTGTGAAGGGTGGTAGTGTCGGATATCAATTATTCTTCCAGCCTGGCAAAATATGGGGCAGCACTAATGTTCGCAAGAGGCTTTTAAAAAAATAATTATTCTTATATATTGTACTCTCCCAAGGTAAGGTCTGGCATTACAAAATAGGGTTTTTAGGTAATTTCTGAGCATGGAAAACGTTGAGATTTGTGCTATGCTCATTAAAAAGAAATCATCAAAACCTAAACACTGCAGCTAAAACTTAAATTATATCTTTGAAAGGGGTGCCCCCTGCTGGCTTCTTAAAATAGACTTTCTTAATCCTTTCCAAGAACTGCTTTAACACTTTTTTTCTATTAAATTTAAAAAAAAAATTTATCTCTTTTGCTGAAAGTACTACAGATGTCCCCCTTACTCCTCCATCGATCCCCCCCTCTCTCCCCGGCCATTTGTGTCTCACCCCCACTCCCAGGCTTCACCCTGGGGTTATGCTGATACACAAATAAATTCTTGGGTTAATCCCCCCCCCCCCCCAAGATTGAAGTTTAATTGTTAAACACCTTTAATTTGAGAAAAAGGTAGACAAGTCCTCTGTTTAAAGCTTGCTTTTTATTCTCTCCACTCAAATACCGTTTTCACCAGTGAGGCCTTCTGTGACCCAGGTCCTGTCACCTGGTGGCATTTGATAAAGGTCCTTCTGAGAGATCACTGTTGAAGTAGGTTTTTTTTTTTTTCTTGGTTTTGTTCACACATGGAGAAACAAAATGGAATAACATCATATAATTTTCTTTCTCTCCCATTGTAACATGTATTTTAATGTCATTAGTTATTTGTCTAAGATATTTTTAAAAAGATATGCCTCTTAATATGCTACAAACGCCTGACAATTTATTTACACTCCTCTATGTTTTGATATAGTAAAACTTATACATAAAGGAACATTTTTGTGTTTAAATCTTCCTGCCTCTCTGTTTTCTTTGACCTCTTAGGGCAGATTTGTACAATTAGAATGAATGGCTAAAAGGCAATTAAATATTTTTGGTAAATGGTTAAAATGCTCTTTAGCAAGATTGTCTCAACATTATTCCCCGGCAGTGTGTATAAAGATGCCCTTTAGTTAGAACTTTAGCAGTGGATATTTATCAGATTTGTCCATCAACTTTATTGAAGTATGACTTGCATATAATTATAAAATTTAAATTTATAAATTGTGGTAAAATATACATCATACACATTTCAGCCATTTTTTAGTGTCGAGAAGTATATTCATAGAGTTGTGCAGCGCTCACCACTATCAGTTTCCAGAACTTTTCCATCATCTCAAACAGAAGCTTTTGTCCACTAAACAATAGCTCCCTGTTTCCCCCTTCCCGGTCCAGTAACCTCTATTCTACTTTTTGTCTCTCTGATTTTGCCTCTTCTGGGTACCTAGTGTAAGTGGGATCAGACAGTATCTGTCCTATTGTGCTTGGCATAATTAAGTTTAATATTTTCAAAGTTAATTTATGTCGTAGCATGTACCAGAATTTCATTTCTTTTTAAGGTTGAATAAATTCCATGAATGCAAATGCAACATTATCTTTTCTTCTATTGATGGACACTTGGGTTGCTCCCACCTTGTGGCTGTTCTGAATAACGCTGCTTTGAACATTTGTGAACAAGCATCTGTTCAGTCCTTTCAGCTCTTTGGGGTGTACACCTAGGAGCGGAACTGCTGGGTCATATAATAATCCTATGTTCAACTTCTTGAGGACCCATGGTTTCCATAGCAGCACCAGTTTACATGTGCACCGGCAGTATGTGAGGGTTTCTGTTCATATTCTCCATATTTTCTGTATCTTTTTCTACCCCCTCTGATACTAGCTATCCTAATGGGTGTGAAGTGATAGCTCATGCTTCTGATGTGCATTTCATGGTGACTAGTAATGTTGACTATCTAGATTTTCATGTGCTCATCGGCCATTTGTGTTGTTCTTTGGAGAACTGTCTGTCCCAAGTCCTTTGCCCATTTCTAATTGGCTTCCTTGTCTTATGTTGCTGATTTGTAGGAGTTCTTGATATATCCTGGATATTAACCCCATATCAGATATATGATTTACAAATACGTTCTCTCACTCTGTGGGTTGCTGTTTCACTCTGTTGACAGTGTCCTTTGAGTAAAAGTTTAAAATTAGTAGCTTGTAACTTTTGGCCCAAGGTCCTACCACTTCCTTTTCATGGAGTGCCTGGGGCTTCTTTAATCTGGATGCTAGTTCCAGGGGGATTGGGACCCGTAAGCATCATTGCTGTGCCAGAGCTCTCGGAGTCTGACGGCTTCCCTCCAGGGGCGGCTGTGTCTCTATTTGAAGACCTGACAAGCCAAGGCTCTCTGGCTGTTTCACCCAGAGAACATGCCGCACGCCTCACAGAGCGCAGTCCTCACCAGCTCACAACTCAGCGTTCTCTCCACATTACAGAAAAGATTCATGGCAAACGAATTTCCTACATGAAATAAACGTTTCCAAATCACCTGAAGTGATGTTTATTTTTATTTTTTAAAATATATTTTATTGTTTTTTTTACAGAGAGGAAGGGAAAGGGATAGAAAGTTAGAAACATTGATGAGAAACATTGATCAGCTGCCTCCTACACACCCCCTACTGGGGACATGCCCGCAACCAAGGTACATGCCCTTGACTGGAATCGAACCCGGGACTCTTCAGTTCGCAGGCAGACGTTCTGTCCACTGAGCCAAACCAGCCAGGGCCTGAACTGATGTTTAATAGTTCATCAGCTTTATTTTCTGCTGGATGATGAAACAGAAACACTACACTAAGACTAGTATTGACTAGTATTTGTTAAGATGGAAAAAATATTTGTAAGACTTATGATTGCAAAACTTTGTATTAAAGTGAATATATACATGGTGGGGCAAAAGTAGGTTTACAGTTGTGAGTACACAAAACAGTTTTTTCTTGTATTATTACTTATTATTTCCCATGTGAACAACTATAAACGTACTTTTGTACCTACCTGTATATGTTTAACACTAATATCAATAAGTAGTAGTATTTACTACATATATATATATATATATATATATATATATATATATATATATATATATATAAATGACCCGTCGGCTAAGAGGTAGAACAGAGATCTTTAACCAAATACCTCTGTACTCAGAAATAAAAATTACTGCCCTAACCGGTTTGGCTCAGTGGACAGAGTGTCAGCCTGCGGACTGAGAGGTCCCAGGTTTGATTCCGGTCAGGGGCATGTACCTTAGTTGCAGGCACATCCCCAGTAGGTGTGCAGGAGGCAGCTGATCGATGGTTCTCTCTCACCGATGTTTCTAACTCTCTATCCCTCTCCCTTTCTCTCTGTAAAATACCAATAAAATATATTTTTTTAAAAAGAAAAAAATTACTATGTCCGTCTCTCCGGCTAAGGCCTTTTGAAATGCTTTCCCCTTTGCTGCAGAAGCACAGCTTGTACACATGGGGGCGCAGTGGGCATGCTTCAGTCTCCTGCATGCCTCTCTCTGGGCTCGGTACATGCAGTGTTGGCTCACCCTGTCTCACCCACCTTATCTCACATCAGCGCTCATCCCTGCTTAATGGAACTCTCCCGGGGGTCCCTTTCCCCAGTCCCCGGCTCTCCTGTTCAAGGGCTGTTTTCTCTCCCTTTACAGACGGGCCAAGGTCGCTCGCGTGATTGGTTTACTGGCCTCACACACAGCTGAACTTCAAGAACATACGCCTGTTATTGAGGTAATTTCTCTTATTAAGGAAATGCTATGAATGACAGAAGAGAGTGTCCCTCATTTTGTGACTTGGACCAGGCAGATTTCATTGACCTTCCCGAAGTTCTCTCTGTGGAATTGTCCCATGGCTATAAGGCAGTAACCTCCATGGACCTTTAGGCTCTCCACCAGCTGGACATATAAAACATGTCCTGCTATGAAGGGGTGCGGCAGACTATATTGTGAGCTAGGTCCTGTCCCACAATGAGCTGGGTGTTCCCCATAATGCCATCTTTTACTCAACGGGCTGTGATAATTGAAGCAGCCACTAGAGGGCACCCAAACACTGGAAACAAAGTTTTACAAGTTCAAGAATTTATTAATATCTTTCAACTCCAGGAAGAAGCAGGTTTAGCAGATATATAGCTTTTCTGTTTTCAACTTTTCCTTGTTTTTTTCCTCCTCCTCCCCCCCACCTTTTCCCCTTTCCCCTTCCTCCCCTTCCCCCTTCCTCACTCCTCCATTCTCCTACTTTCTCCTCTTCCTCCTCCTTCCTTCTCCTTCTGTTTTTGAGTTTCCACCGTGTGAGATGCTGTTGCATTCCATTGGTGATGAAGACACAGGAGATGAATGAAAGCCAGCACAGCCTCTCCAGCAAAGTGCAGTCAGCACCTTGCCTGTGATTGGGGGGGGGGGGGGACTGCAAACCTGAGTGCAGTGTTTGCAGACCATTTTTCGGTAAATTATTAATAAAATGTCAAGCATGAGATGCATTCTGATTTCTCAGTAGGTTTACTGTTAGTAGATACTAAAATTTGGGGTTGAAGATTCTATAGACCTTTTTACGGTATAAAACCTCGTTTCATTATTCATCTTTGTTTCCCACAGTGCCTGGCAGCAAGGTGACATGTATTTCAGGCACTTAATGTCAACAGCTCTAATAAGTGATTAAAACAATGGTAGGGACATGTGCTGGTGTGATTTATTACAGAGGGGCAGAAGAGATTTGGGGGGGGGGAGGTCTGTTGTTCTATCCTTAGGATATATTTTAAATCTTTCATTCTGTCGTTATTGGCTACATAAAAGAGTTGAGCATCACCTCTTGTATGTATTTAGAAGCATTTATTTGATTCTTCTTTTTTTTTTCATGGAAAAAATATAACCTGATTCTTAGGCTTTTCCTACTAGATCACTACACATTTATCACCCAGTAATCACTGGGGTTCCTGTGTGTAATAATTTTTAGGAAATAGTCCTGGCATTTTGATAGACATTTGTAGCCTCAAGCATGCAGTGGATGTAGTTTAGGAAGTGGATTATAGAACCCTAAAGTTTAGAATTGGATGGAATAGTAGCAGGTGTACTAGTTGACCCCTTCATTAAATGTTTTCATTGTAGAAAATTCCGACGTACGTAAAAGTAGAGAGACTGTCATAACGAGACATCATTCATTTCCAGCAATTATCAGCACTTTGCCAATCTTACTCGTCTGTCATCTCTTGCTCTCTTCTTTCCCATCTCATTCCCTCTCCCCTCTCTATCTTCTCTCTTTCCTCCTCTCCTCTCACTATAGTATTTATTTTTTAAAAATCCAGCCAGCCAGTGTGCTTAGTGATTGAGTGTTGATTCATGAACCAGGAGGTCATTGGTTTCATTCCTGGTCTGGGCACATGCCCGGCCTGTGGGCTTAATCTTAGGGGCCGTGCAGGTGAGCAAGGAGAGTGAACAGGGGGTCAGTAGCCCAGGGGAAGGTGGTGTAATGTGATCTGTGAGACCCCGAGTCGCAGGTCCTTCGGGAAGCCAGAGTGGGGGGGCGGGAGTGTTCGCAGGAGTGAGGACGCCTCCTCATCTCGCTTCAAACGACTCCTGGAGTGAGGGTCCCGGTGGCATTTGCTGCTCGCGGGACCGCAGGCAGCATGGAGGGACACAGACTCCACCAGCATCTCAGAGGAGGTGACGTGGCTCTCCTTTGGACCACGTGCTGTTTCAGTGCGGCCCCTCCTCGGACCCGGTGAATGACCTCTGGCCTGTGCTTGCTGGGTACGTGTTGCCGGCGGAAGGACTAGTGCTCAGCTCATCAGCTGTGTTTCTGTTTATACTTTTCTTCCAAAACCTGCATGTGAGCAGGGTCTTCATGTGGATGGCAGTTTGTAAACACGGAACGGCCTCTCTTTGTGGGGTTCATGTCCCCCCTTTTCATGGTCATTCGTCAACCCAATGGAGCGTTTTACACCCCACTAGGTCCCCTAGATAGCTCTGTGTTGGGAGACTGGAAGGTGCCACCTTTCACATCAGACACTCTGACGTCCTTTTCTTCTTCTTTTTTTAAAATATATTGATTTTTAGAGAGACGGGGCGGGGGAGAGAGGTCCACTCATTTACGCATTCATTAGTTGCTGCTTGTATGTGCCCTGAGCGGAGATGGAACCCACTGCCTTGGTGTAGCTCTAACCAATTGAGCTACTGGGCCGGGGCTGACACTGCGACCATGTCTGGCTTGTTCATAGCCCTGAGCTGAGACCGATGTCATTAAAAAATTTTTAAAAAAAAAATTAATTGCAGAGAGGAAAGGAAAGGGAGAGAGAGAGAGATTGAAACATCAACGATGAGACAGAATCAATTATTGGCTGCCTCCTGCACGCCCCACATTGAGCCCGCAACCCAGGCATGTGCCCTGACCAGGAATCGAACTGTGACCTCTAGTTCATAGGTCATTGCTTGTGCCATTTATAACCCTCCGCACTGTTAGTGTCAGTGAATTTGCCCTTGTGTCTCCCTGCTAAACAATCGTCTTTTTTTGGTTAGTTCTTGGACAGCACGAGAGGGAAATGGGTTGAACAGGATGAAACGAGCTGAGTAACATTCAGGCCTTTGTGTAGAGCGAAGGGACACGTGTTGGCTGCGTGTTATTCAGCCAGGAAGCCCAGTGGATATCATTTGGGGCATCGCCATATTTTAATCACTTTTGCATACGAATGAAACACCTCACATCAAAGAACTCTTAAACGGCACGCTTCCTAATTTTTTATAATGATCAAATTCATTGAATTTCTTACCTCACATCTTGTAGAGCAGTTTTTACCTTCCGTGTTTCTCGCTTTGACTAATTTGCCTGCTCGTTTTACCCCGCGCTGTGAGCACACCTTTGTTACAATATTTTCAGAGCAGCAGCTGTGGGGCTTATACATTGGAATGTGCTGTGTTTAGTAATCCTTGCAAACCCAGCAAATGCCACATTTAATTTTCTATTAGATGAAAGAAACACGGAAGGAGACTTGGTGGTGGAAAGAATTGCACAAACATAACTAATCAGAGCTGATCCCCGAAGCAGAAAAATGCAATTTAAAATGAGCTTCCTTTGTATTTCTGTTATTCGAGGAGTGAAGAGATGACTATTAAGACTATAGTAACAAGTAAATAATAGTTATAAATAGAAAACTCAAGCAGTATTGCGGTTATGTTCTTTGTGTCATAACTTTGACGCATTCCAACATCGAAAAGACTCAGTTTTCATAAAGGACGATGGTGACTTGGTTGCTTAAGAAAACATGTAGCCCAGCTGTGGTGGCTCAGTGGCTGAGCATTGACTTACGAGCCAGGAGGTCACGGTTTGATTCTAGGTCAGGGCATTTGCCCAGCTTGTTGGGCTCCATCCTCTGTTGTGCCAGAGAAAGCTGATCAATGATTCCCTCTCATCATTGATGTCTCTCTCTCTCTTTCTCTCTCTCTTGCTCTCTCTCTCCCTCTTTCTCTCTGAAATCTATAAAAATATATTTTTAATAAAAAGAAAAAACTTTATACAATGGGCATAATTGTGTTATGGTTCTAAATAAAAATGTCATTTAGCCCCATCTGGTTTGGCTCAGTGGTAGAGAGTCAGTCTGCAGACTGAAGGGTCCCAGGTTCAATTGCAGTCAAGGGCACATGCCTAGGTTGTGGGCTCTGTCCCCCGAAGTGGGCATGAAGGAGTCAGCCAGTCAGTGATTCTCATCATTGATGTTTCTATCTCTTCCTTCCCCTTCCTTTGAAATCAATAAAAATATATTTTTCTAAAAAAAGTAAGTTAACCGTCAATATTCAGGGTGGGGCAAAAGTAGGTTTACAGTTGTGAGTGTATCAAAGTTTATTCTTGTATTATTATTTACTAGAGGCCCAGTGCATGAAATTCGTGCACTGGATGGCAGGGGGGTGGTTTCCTCAGCCTGGCCTATACCCTCTTACAGTCCAGGACGCCTCAGGGGATGTGCAGCTGCTGGCTTAGGCTCGATCCTCGATCCTTCTGGGACGAGCCTAAGCCAGCAGTCAGACATCCCTCTTGCAGTCCAGGGCTCTCATAGACCAGAACCCCTCGCTCCTTACTGCCCACCTGCAGTGGAGGCGGGAGAGACTCCCGTCACTGCCACTGAGTTCACCAGCCTTGAGCCTGGCTTCTGGCTGAGCGATGCTTCCCCTATGAGAGCGCACTGACCACCAGGGGGAAGCTCCTGCATTGAGTGTTTGCCCCCTGGTGGTCAATGTGCATCATAGCAACCGGTCTTTCCACAGTTTGGTTGATTTGCAAATTAGGGTTTTATTATATAGGATTAATTATTGGATTCTTTTGCATATGGATGACTGTAAACCTACTACTTTGGTCCCACCTGGTATGTACATGAAATCCCTGCCCGCAGAGGCAGAAGGGAGGACCTGAGGGAGAGTGTGGAAGCGCTGGCACGTGTGTCTGGCAGCCGATCGATGATTCTCTCTCACCATTGATGTTCCTGTCTCTCCCCCACTCCCTTCCTCTCTCTGAATCTATAAAAACACATTAAAAACAAACAAAACCCCCCAATATCCATATGTTACTTGGATTTCTGAAGCTGAAGAAGGCTTAACAAATCTATTTTATCTTTTTGTTCTGTTTAGTAATGGCATTTTCAATGCCAGTCTGCCTAGGTCATCAACCACTTATTTTTCTCTTTGGTATTTGCCATTTCTATTTTATGTTTGTTTAGTATTCCTATTGTTTTCCTTTGTTACTAGTAATAGTTCTTTAAAGTTTTGCAATAACAAGGGGGAACTGTCTAAACAACACTGCAGGGAAACTGCCTGCCGCGTACCGTTCACCACTCTCCAAAGCTGACTTGGGCAGCGTGAGGTCAGCCTGCCGGGATTACTAGCATAGACTACTGGGTGTGTGTCTGTCTACGCGGTGCTCCTAAGCACTTCTGTCGTGCTGGAGGCAGTTCACACAGTTTCATCTCTTCAAGGACCTGCAGCATTAAGATGTTTTAATTTCCAGTGATGCTTACGATACAGAGTGCCGGTGGGTTTTAAGATTGAGAAAAGCCGTAAATCCCTGCCCCTAGTTTCGGGAAGCAGCGAGCTGGGTATGGGTTTTGAATTTAGTGTGAGGTTGACTTAAGAAAAAAAGAATTAAGCCTTTTATTTTGAGATAATTAATAGACTCATATGAGGTGGTAAGAAATAATCCAGAGAGATCCTGTGTATGCTTCCTCCCGTGTATGCTTCCTCCCGTTTCCCCAGAGGTAGCGTCTCGGAGAATTAGAGTAGAATATTGCTGCAGGATATTGACATCAAAATAGGGAACAGTTTTAACACCCTAGGGACCCCTCGCACCGCCACTTTTTAACCACGCCCACTGCCCTCTATCTCATGTCCTCCCCCAACCCCTACCCCTGGCAGCCACTAACCTGTTTGCCATTTCTTTTTTTTTATTAATATATTTTTATTGATTTTTTACAGAGAGAAAGGGAGAGAGATAGAGACCTAGAAACGTCGACGAGAGAGAAACACCGACCAGCTGCCTCTTGTACACCCCTCACCGGGGATGTGCCCTCAACCAACGCACATGCCCCTGATCGGAATCGAACCTGGGACCTTTCAGTCCGCAGACCAATGCTCTACCACTGAGCCAAACCGGTTTCGGCCTGTTTGCCATTTCTATTCTCTTGTCATTTTGAGAATATTGTATAAGTGGAATCATATGATATGTAACCTTTTGTGATTGGCTTTTTTTCATGGTTAGCATGTTTCTCTGCAGATTCATCCAGAGAAAGGAGCCAGAAAAAGGAATACGCAGTATGCGATCCCATTGACACAAACTCTAGAAAATTAATGACAGGCGGTACATTGGTGGTTGTCCCGGGAGGAGAAAGGAGTGGGATGGAGGCAGTAGTTACCAAAGGAATGTGGGGGGGACATTCGGGGTGTTGCCATTTTGATTGTGGCTGCAGGTGATGAGGTCGCAGGTGGTTATCTGTGTCAATTGCACCTAAGTATACACTTTACATAGATGCGCTTTATCCTATGTCAGTTTTAAAAAAAACACCACGCCTGCAGTGTCCTCCAGTACCTGACTGCTGACTGGGAACTCACCCCACCGGACACCACTCCTCTGGGCTCTTGTTCACAAGAGGGCCAGAGATCAGGTGCGGGAACAGTGTTCCTTTGTCCAGGTGTTCTGGAAGCTTCCAAAGACCTCCTGTCAGTGTTCATGCTTCTGTCTTTGCGGACGGGAAATAGTCTTGTCTTACCACCGGAGCCACGCTGCCTTCGAGCAGGTTTCCGCACGGTCCTCCCTGCTCTCAGCTCCCTCTCGGGCCGGGGCCGGTGTTCACGTGCCATCGGGAACCTTCCTCCCCGCTCCCCGGCCGCCCCGTGGTTCCCCTCACCCGGGCCCCAGGGCGCGCATTCTGGTGACGCCGGTACCTGACGGTCTCAGCATCGCTCCCGGGAAATGAACTGCGTTTGATAAATGCTGCTGAGTGTCAGCGTGGGTCATGTTGAAGCTTTGGGATAAGGTTTACACTCAGACTTTTGAAGGAATCCTTTAAACGTTCAATGCCATGCGAGAGTTGTTGAACTGGGGGGTGCTGGAGCGTGCCGGAGACCTGGCAGGTAGGGGCTGGTGCAGGCCCTGGCTGTCCGCTGAGACGTGCCGGCCCCTCCTCCCTCCTCCCTGTCTCCACAGTGAGCGCAGCGCCTGCCTCGCAGGGTCAGTGTCACGGCCGGAGTGCGCGGGAGCTGGCCGTGCCCTCCAGGCCCGAGCGCGTTTTCCCGGAGGCATTTTTGCTGTCATCGGGGACAGACAGCTATTATTATTATTTTTTTTTTTTTTCCGGAATAAGGCCCATATTTTGAAAATCATTTGGAAACTGCTTCTTAAAAATGGAAGGTGAATTCTGGAGAGAGCCTCGCCTTGTCCATACAGGTTAGAGAACTGAGAGATACATATCAAATAATATACTTTTTTTTTTTTTTTTCTTTCTTTTCTTTTCAGGCAATTACTCTCTTAACCGAATTAATTAGGGAGAACTTCAGGAACAGCAAATTAAAGCAGTGCCTTCTGCCAGCCCTCGGGGAGCTGCTCTACCTCGTGGCCACCCAGGTGAGACGTCTGATGGAGACGCGCCTGCTGTGCGCGGACGCGCTCTGACACATCCCGGCCAGCGAGTATTAATAGCCCACAAAGGTCCTCCCCACCCCTTTGCCGCTTAGAGCACGCCTCAGGAGCTGCGGAGAGAGGCTGCTTCTGGAGGGGAGAGGCTATCCGTCTCTCCCTGTCTGTCTGTCTGTCATCTCTTTCTCCCCCCCCTTCTGCTTCAGAGCAGCAGTTTTCAGCAGTTTTCAGCCGGTGGGCCGAAATATTCCGTTGTTTCTTTTTAAATATATTTTATTGATTTTTTACAGAGAGGAAAGGAGAGAGATAGAGAGCTAGAAATGTCAATGAGAGAAACAACGACCAGCTGCCTCTTGCACACCCCTTACCGGGGATGTGCCCGCAACCAATGTACATGCCCTTGACCGGAATCGAACCTGGGACCTTTCAGTCCGCAGACCCAACGCTCTACCATTGAGCCAAACCGGCTTCGGCTATTCCCGTTGTTTCTAAAAGTAGATCTCAGGAATCCTTCTCCTGGGTGCTCACTCTACTTGGGCAGAAGCTAAGCTGCTGTCAGAAAGCCCATGTCCGTGGCTGTGACGTGCAACCACATCTTAGGATAGTGAACCTGATTCTGTCCCTGGGTCCATGGAAGCCCGTACATTTTGGGGAGACGAGGGCTTCTGTGGACCGGTCACTGAACATATGTCAGCCTTAAGATCTCAGGTTCGTGCTGACCGAGAGGCTGGCCCGGAGGGAGAGTGTGCCACGTGTCACAGACCTGGCCCCTCTGGACGCTCTGCTCGCACTGGGGGGCCAGCTGGACGGAGGGGTTCTGCGGAGGATGTGCCCGAGCAGCGCAGTTGCAGGCTGTGTGGTTTTTGTCCTTCTTTTTGTCAGGGATGACTCCCACCCTGCTGCAGGCATTCTTTCTTTCGCCTATTTTTGGTTCAGCCCATCATCACCTCTTCCCTGGTCTGTGGTCAGAGCTCCCAGACAGTCCCCTGGCTTTGCTCCGGTCTCAGTAAACGTGTGCTTTCCAGACCTCAGCCGGGGTGAGCCTGTTAAACACACAAGGGAGACTGCGAGTGTCCCTGCTCAGAGGCCCCAGGCCTCTTGTCTTGCTCGCTGTCATCAGTCCCTCCAGTTGCTTCTAGGCCCTGTTTGGTGCCTCCCCTGGGCCCGTCTGACCTCCGCCCCCCTCGCTCCCACTCGCTCCTTCCGCCATGCTGACCTCCTTGCAGTTCCTGGCCCACAACTGCTGTGCCCCGCTCCTGCCCGCACCCCTACCTCCGCACTGTGCTTCCTCCTGCTCAGGAGTGCCCCAGGTCTCTGTTCACGGGTCCCTTCAGAGACCTGGCTACATAGCATGATCACGACTCATTTATCCACAGTATGAGATGCAGCCACCCTGTCTAGTCTCCCTCTAACTGCTTCCCTGCTGTGGTTTTCCTTATGGCGCTCATCAATAGAGCAGATTCTCTGCCAGCCAGCTCCTGTTGCCACGTCTCAGTTCCCCTCTAGCTTCTGATGAGGGGATCGAGTCAGCATCCTGTGTAACAAAGCAAGCAATGGGAGCAGTACAGTCTGTGCGGTGCAGTCAGGGACTCCCAATCAGATCGTCATTGATGGGGAGCGGGGGGGGGGGGGGGGGGGAAGGGAAATCATATTGTAAAGAGAACATTAGGAAGTTTTGTAGAGTTTGTGCATTTGAAACTGCCCCTTTCTCTCGAACGGGTTACTATCTTTTGTGCTGCTAGCTTCACAGCCTTTTCCTCCACTTCATTTTAGGAAGAAAAAAAGAAGCACCCCAGAGAATGCTGGGCTGTCCCCCTGGCCGCCTACACGGTGCTAATGAGGTGCCTTCGGGAAGGGGTAAGGCCCTTTGTTGTCCTCTGTGGCCCCCGGATGGTAATAGCCCTCTCGGCGCTGGCGTGTGTGTGTGTGTGTGTGTGTGTGTGTGTGTGTGTGTGTGTGTGACTGTAGCCCGCAGCCGTGCGGAGCTGGCCAGCAGGCATTGCTCCAGACTGTCAATCCTGGCCCAGCCACCCCTGGCAAGTGACCCCCCCGGCGGAGCAGGCAGAAAGCGAGCCAACTTTCTCCTTCGCTTTTCAAAAGGTGGTAGCAAACAGAAGCAGCGGAAGTAGTTTGTAACATGTATTCTTAATCCCTTCCGCCTTTGAAAGCTGCCGAGAGGCCAGTCTGGGAAGCGAGGCGAATGCAGAGAATTTTCCGTGAGGCTCAGAAGCCCGCGATTGGCTTGTCAGGTTGCTCTTGGTTTGAAAACTGGGCACCTTTAACAGGAGGCGGTGGTTCGTGTGCGATGTGACTTTTCAGATTACTCGGATCCCTCCCACACCGCCGTTCACCGCTGTGCACGGCCACTCGCCAGCCTGCGGGCTCGTACAGAGGTGCCCGCGTGGAACACGGTGAAGGGTTTAGTGGCCGACCTAAGAGGTTGGCATTGTCTGTTTGCTTTAAGCCATTTGACATGGTTTTACCCAAGGCAAAGCCGTGGGCTAAGAGCATTCCTTAAGGAACGAAGAAAATATGTCACAGTAAACATCTTCCTTTTGAGTTCTCTGCTCCCTGGTAATGGAGCCATGTTCCATGTGTGACCATACCACCCTCATTACCCTTCCACCCCCCTCATCCCGTGACCCCAAGTGCAGTCTGAACACCTTGCAGCCTGTAGGGTTGATAGGTAGTCAGTCAGCTGTTGTGATGGGATGTGCGTGACGCCGGGGAATTACATCGTATCAGTAACAGGGCAGTTAAGTCATGTTTATCTGCAGTCAGAGGGTACCTCTCGGTGTCATTCAAGGCCTCAAGCGAGGCACACTTGGGGGCTCACAGATGAAGGAGGTGACGTTGCCATGCACTCTCAGGTCCCATCCATCGTGGAGATAAGATAAAGGTATAAAGTGGAATATGTCAAGTAAATAAATGCCGAAGAACAAAATACAGGAACGCAAAGGAGAAAGGAGTCCCCCAGGAATTCTTTCCTGACGGTACCAATGCTGGCCAAGCAATTTTAGAAACTTCGTGTCTTCAGTTTTTAAAACTCAGATGAATGCCTTGTCAAAGAGGATCCATTCTAGTTCACGAAGTTGTATCCCTTATTAAATATCTTCCTTCCTCTCCCTCACATATTTTTCATTGTATATATAATAGGAAGGATAATGTTTGATATCCAAGTGCATTGTTTTAAAATTGTTGTTAACTAGGAGCCCGGTGCATACGTGATTTGAAATCGCGAGGCCTGGGGCCTGTAAGGCCGCAGGTTCGATTCCGGTCAAGGGTATGTACCTTGGTTGTGGGCACATCCCCAGTAGGGGGTGTGCAGGAGGCAGCTGATGGATGTTTCTCTCATAGATGTTTCTCATTCCCTATCCCTCTCCTTTCCTCTCTGTGAAAAATCAATAAAATATATTTAAAAAAATAAATAAAATCACCTTCCAGTTTTGATATGCTTTTATTGTGTGTTTTTTTCCATATTATTTCAGCTTTTTATTAAAATATGTGATATTATGCTAGGTTGTTGGTAATAGCTTCAAAATAGCCTGAAATACCTAACGCATCTCCTAAAATACCTGAAATACCTCCTATAAAATACCTAGCGCATCCGGGGGTGGGGGGGCAGGTCACTCCCTCTTGGAGCCAGGCCTTTATTTGCAGCGGGCACGAAAAATGATGTGTCTGTTTTCCACACTCGGTAACAGCCTTTTCATCCCCTCCTCGCTCTCTGGTCTCCTTCCGCAGGAGGAGCGTGTGGTGAACCACATGGCAGCGAAGATCATCGAGAACGTCTGCACCACCTGCTCTGCGCAGGCCCAGGGCTTCATCACGGGGGAGATCGGACCCGTCCTCTGGTACCTCTTCAAGCACTCCACTGTCGACTCTCTCAGGATCACAGCAATATCGGTGAGATGGAGCATCTTTTGGGGACACACCCTCACTTATTGAAACAGCAGGCTTGCAAACATCATGCGAGACATAGAGTAGGAAACAGAAACCTCCGAGAAATAGTGGTGAGAACAATAACTTGATTTTCTCCTACAGTAGAGGTTTCACACCAGGGGCTGGCCAGCATTGGTACCGTCAGGAAATCCTGTCGGGACCCAGGGTTGGGCGGGGTGGGGGACCATGACACGATCAAAACTACACGGAGGCGACAGTGGAAAACGGCCCAGAACAGGATTTGGTTTGGTGTATGTTTAGTGTGCTCATCAGCTCCCTCTCTTTTGGATTTTATGTTCAATGGGTTTATCATGTGGTTCAAATGAACTCACCCCCAGATATCTGTGGTTTTTCAGGTTTTGTGTTTTGATTCCTTGTCTGCTACTTTGCGCACAAGGTCATGCTAACTCGGTGTGAAGGATAGTTATGTTTGAGACGTGCTAACAGGGTTGTATCAGGTTAATAGTCCTTGGGAGAAATGCAGCGCTTCCTCATGGCATTAGTTTCTGTCCCCTCATTGGTCACTATTCTCTTGACCCCTCGGCATTACATGGCAGCCTCACTGCCTTTCTGTCTGCTCATTAGTACCCTCCCCACTGTGGCAGCGCCCTCACTCCCCGCTTTCCTTATACCTCCACGTTCCCCTCGGCACCCTCAGGAAGTGACTCCCTGGGGAGAGGGAGGACATCACGGGGAATCACCCTCACGTGCGGCTGCACATCAGAGGTGTTTCCACCCACACCTGTCCCAGCGCCCCTCCTGCTGCCTCTGACCGTGTCTTCTGTCAGACGGACCGCCCAGCTTTCTCAGGGAACCTCACTCACTGGTTATTCTTCCTAAATCTCTCACCTGTCCTTCCAGAGCTTTCTAATCAGCATTCAGGTATTCTTTGCCCCATTACAAACCAAACCAAACCAAACCAAACCAAACCAAACCAAACCAAACCAAACCAAAGCACAGAAGTAAATGTGTCCGAAGGACTCAGGCTGCGTATCTCTCTTCACGGCCATACTTGTTTACACAGAGTTGTCATTACAAATTATTGCTACTTTCTGGCCCATTTCCTCTTCACCCAGCCTGCTATCTGTCCTGAAGATGTCACTGAAGCTGAGTCCATTGAGATGTCACTGAAGCTGAGTCCATTGAGATCTGCAGTGACTTTCATGTTGCTAAATCCTGTGGGTTTTTATGGATATTTTTTAGTTCTTAACCTTAATTCACCTACGTAATTTTGAAGATAATGGGCTAACAATCTGGCTCACAGGGTATGATTAAGCAAGGGATATATAGCATTGCATCACACACACACACACACACACACACACACGCACACACACACACACGCACTCATGCACGCACACAGGCACTCATGCATGCACACACCCCTCCACCTGCTTCAGGAGCCATGTGAACTCAAAATTATAAAACCTAATGACCATATGAGTAATTATGGAGGAAGCATCAGAGAGGTCGTCACAGAGTATGCCAGTGAACTTTCTCCAGGCGTCTTGGAATTATATCTTAAGGCATCCATTTTAATCCTGGCCCTGAGGAAAAAAAAAACCTGTCTTGCTTTAATTGGGTTCATGTTCTCACATCCATCTTTATATCTGCGTGGTTTCTTTTCTTGGCTAATTTTTCCCAGTTGTTCTCACCAAAGTCTTGTTCTTTTTAGCCCTTTCTTCATCTGACACATTAAGCTTCATTTTTCATCTTGGGCTGCTGGTGTTTATTTCTTAGCATTCATCTAAATAATTTTTCACTGACATTTTGCCAATTAAACAAAAAAATGTCTTTTTTTTTTTTTTCCTTTTCTGTCCTCTTATCCCCTCCCTGCTCCTATTCTTATGTCTTTAAACCTCTTGGTTGGAGGAGAGTGTGTGTAGTTTGAAAAAGCCTCCAAGGTGGTTTAAATATGGCATCCAAAAATCACTCAAAAGACAAAAAAAAGGAATGATTCTTAAATTTCTTCAGCAGTGATCCTGGTCATATAACTAATACGTACACAGCCTTCTCTTCTACATTAGTCCATTTCTCAGCTATTTATTGAATAGAAATTCTGAAGGTAATGCAATGTTCTTTTGGAAGCAAATTTTGAACTGGACCTATTTTTCATGAAAAGGTTGAAGACTCTTCCTTGTCCTTTTAAGAAAATATTTTCTGTATGCTTTTATTGATTTCAGAGACAGGAAGGGAGAGGGAGAGAGAGAAAGATTATGAAAAGATCAATGAGAATCAATGAGCGAGAATAATTGATTGGTTGTCACTCCTGTACCCCTGTTAGGGATTGAGCCCGCCAATCGGGCATGTGCCCTGACCGGAATCCAGCCGTGACCACTTGATTCATAGGTCAGCATTCAACCACTGAGCCACACTGGCCGGGCGCCCTTTTCCTTTTTCCACCTCTCTCTCCCGAGGATGCATTGGAGAGGGTCCTCTGCTTTTTCACGGTTGCTATGTGTGCTACCTGTTCCTTTCTGGTTGTAATAGCTCACAGTAGCATTTTCACGAAGACTGGATCTGTGGTTTGGCATAAAAGAAATACATCCACTTTAAACATGGCATTCTGGTTTGAGATGGACTTTATGCCAACCGGCACTTGTTTTTTTCTTATTTTATCAATAGGAATAACTTTTAAAGGGAGTTCATTCTTGGAGATAGAACAAAATATTACTATTTTTCCTGAGATGTTCAAGAAAATGAAAATATTTTTCAAAGTCTTTATCTTCTCTCTCCCTCCTGCCTGCCGCTCTTTCTTTTGACATCGTAATATTTCTAACAACTCATCTTTCACTTGATCTTTTCATAATAGCAATTCATCTTATGCTTGATCTTTTCATAATCAAGGTTATAAATCCACTTTAAGTATAAATCAGGAAGGAGGTTATGACATTAATTATAGTGAATGTTTTTGTAAAACTATTTCTGGTCTACGTTTATTTCTCTCTTTGAAGTCTCCCATGGACAAGGAATATGACCATGCCTCTCTTTCACTTAAAACTTTTGAGGTCTTCCCTTTGCTTGTGGCTGCGATTTTTCAACCTTTTTCATCTCATGTCACACATAAACTAATTACCAAAATTCTGCAGCACACCAAAAATATATTTTTGTCATCTAACAAAAAATAGATACAATTTTGATTCACTCACACCGGACAGCTATTGTTGTGTTGGCTATTGTCATCTTTTATTTGACAATCTAAGAACAAAAGGTCAGTGTCCCCGACTGAATAGTCAGGTATTGCTAACTAAATGTTCTAAAAATTCCTGCCACACACGGGTTTAAAATCGCTGTCTTACGGCATACAACTAGAAGGCCCTAGCTGGGTAGGCCTTCTCTGGCTTCAGCTTACTTTTACAGATGGATCCTGTTTTCCTCTTTCCTACTCTCTGCCTGCCCTCCTTCTCCCGAAGCAGGTTCTGCTTGCATCAGGCAAATGCTCTTCATTTCCCATCACCATGGGAATCCTCATTCTCTCTCTGCCTAGAATTTTCCTCCCTTCCTTTCCCGCTGCCCATTTCCCGCTTCCCCTGCAGGAGCTGGCTCAGCATCACCTTGCTTAGGGAGTTGTGGCTGAGTTGCCTTTCCTGCCTTTCCTAGCGTGATTACTGAGCCCCGTCCTATTCCAACACAAACTACATTCTGTTAGTTTATTATGTACAGGTTTTTATATCTAAAAGCTCATTAGCAATTTAGGAAAAGCTCAGGGGTCTGATAACCTCAGTTTGAATTCCAGCTTTGCTGCTTACTAGCAGATGATTTTGGGCCAGTGGCTTAAATATTTTATGCCTTAGTTTTACCGTCTATGAAATGGGGCTAATAATACCCTGTTTCCCTGAAAATAAGACAGTGTCTTATATTAATTTTTGCTCCCAAAGATGCGCTAGGTCTTATTTTCGGGGGATTTCTTATTTTTCCATGAAGAAGAATACATTTATTGTTAAATGAAAATAAAGGAAATTTATTACCTGTATACGGTACGGTAGTACGGTAGTTGTCAACACAAACCAGACAAACGGTGAATCCTACAGTATCAAGAATTTATTCATTTATTCAATGACAATCATGTCATCATCTTCTGGAACATCATCATAACAAATCCAATTCCTGAATTTCCTGGTGAATTTCTTGTGACTCCATTTCTTTCAGAATCAGTGGACCAAATCTCTCATATTTAGCCTTGGGGGGGGGGGGGCGCCTTATTTTCGGGAGGATGCCTTATATTTCACTCAGAAGGAAAACTGTAAGTAGGTCTTATTTTCGGAGGATGTCATTTTCGGGGAAACACGGTAATACCTCACTTACACATTGTTGAGAGAATTAAACGAGCTAGTCTGCAGATACTCTCGGTATTCTCGGCATACTGAACAATAAAAGTTAGATGTATGCTTTCGTGATTATTTCCTCAGCCCTTAGCTTAGTGTCTGCAAAAGAGGGCCCTTAATGATGATCGTTACTTACGGTGAAGTTTTCCTTTCTAGACTGATGAATTAGTTTATCATAGTTAGCTCACCATCATTTATATGACTATTACTTTACGAGTATCTAATGTTTTAAAACAACTTTAGTTTTCATTAGCAGCTGGATTATTGTTTTATTTTTCAATGTGTTGAACATTTCCAACTCACTTAAGCCAAAAGCAGTGACGAAGGAGCGAGTGCCTTCTACGCTGACAGGCCTGGCTGATGCCCTGGGAGTGACTGACAGCTCGGTGCCCTGTCCCCGCAGGCCCTGTGCCGGATCACGCGCCACTCCCCGTCCGCCTTCCAGAACGTCATCGAGAAGGTGGGCCTGTCCTCGGTGATCACCGCCCTGGCCTCCGCCATCTGCAGGGTCCAGCAGTACCTGCTGACCTTGTTCACCGCCATGCTGTCCTGTGGGGTCCACCTGCAGAGGCTGATCCAAGAAAAGGTTTGCTCTTCCCTTCACCTCGTACTCTACTGTCACACTGTTTTCTCCCACCGTTTCAGTGGAATATCATCTCTGGAGGATTTATGTTTCATCTCAAGGGACCTTTTTGAACTTTGCCAAACCTGTGTACCATAGGCCGTCCATCCGAAGATGTCATGAGAGCCTTTCAGTGATTGAAATGGAAATGGCTCTGCCTGCTGGTCCCATGTCCGTAATGAAAAGCTACAAAATGTCCTTTCTATACACCAGTATTTCTCACGCCGCCTCTTCCTCTCTCCCCCTCCTCTTTGTCCTTCTCCCCCTCCTCCTCCTCTTCATCCTGGGACTCATCTTCCTCCCTGTCCCATTCCTCCGTTTCCTCCAACTTTTGCCCCATATCCTTTGTCTACCTCAGGGAGGGGTCCCTTTATATTCTGACTCACTTTTATTCCTTTCCTTGTCCAATTCTCTGTCAGTGCCACACACCCCGAGAGCCAGCCCCCTTCCTCCTGTTTGTAACTTAGTCCCCATCTACTGCTTTGCTTTCCTGTTATTTTATGTACAGTCGTTTGTAAAATCACATCACAAAACTGCAGCGCTCTGAAGAAGGCTCTGTAGGGTAGCCTTCCTCAGAATATCTTCTCTAGGCCCTGGCTGGGTAGCTCTGTTGGTTAGAGCATCATCTGGATACTCCAAGGTTGCGGGTTCGATCCTGGTCAGGGCACATACAAGAATAAAAAGGTTTAAAGAAAGTGTTTCCCCAGTCCTTGCTGAAGAGAGACCCCTGGGCCAGCACCAGCATCTTCTGGGAGTGTGTTGGAAACACAGGCCCCACCCAGGCCTGCTGAGTCAGAATTGGCATTTTACTGAGTCCTCTAGGTAACATATTTTAACTTTATGGTTTGAGAAGCCCTGCCTAGAGTGTTAGCGTTCAATTCAGTGAGGTGTTAACAGGTGAAAAAAGAGGATCCTGGTTATATGTACATTTGGAAAGTAGTGAGTTCGAGAGAATTTTAATGGGCAGACTCTCCCATTGTTTCATATGCTTATGTGTCTTACGAATCTTCGTGCAGTGTTTTTTCGTTTTAAAAATATATATATATATATTTTATTGATTTTTTACAGAGAGGAAGAGAGAGGGCTAGAGAGTTAGAAACATTGATGAGAGAGAGTCATCAATCAGTTGCCTTTTGCACACCCCCTACTGGAGATGTGCCCGCAACCACATGCCCTTGACCGGAATCGAACCCTGGACCTTTCAGTCCGCAGGCTGACGCTCTATCCATTGAGCCAAATCGGTTTCGGCCATGCAGTGTACTTATAACTTATGGGACCACTGGTTACTTTTCGGAGGGAAATGCTTGTCACGTTGGGTTTTTGCAGAATGGTGAAGGTGACGCTGCTGAGTGTGAATGGACCCACTTACATGTTTCCTGTGGTTCCTCTGCACTGCAGGATTTCAATTTTGATTTTCATACAAGTCAAAATTTCAATAGTTACTATTAATAGTGGTCAGGTTTGCATAGTAAACTTGGCCTGTGAAAGTCTGAGAGCAAGTGGCTACTTCTTGCCTTTAATTAGTCTGCTTTAGACTTTGCTGAGACATGTGAGCTTCAGAGGAAGTATTTTTTTCCAACAGTCTGCATATTTAACTTTTGCTCCTAAATTTTCCAAGTCATTAACGTTGTTGTCAGTGTATTAGAGAAAGCACCACTTGAGCAGTTTGACTGTGTAAATTGTGATAATAGAGGCTGAGAGTTTTAGCAGGTTTTTTTCCACCCGAGCAGAGGCATGAATTAATTTAGTTTCAATATGATATTCACAAGCTGGTCAGATAAGAACTTGGTAGTTGGGCTTCCCTGCGGTGTGGGATGTGTTGGGGAAATCTGGGGAGAGAAAGGCGGCCAGCGAAGCCGAATGTAGGCAGCAGGGATGAAGGGATGTGCCAGGAGGTCAGAAGTAGAAGACAAAATAAAGTACTTATCTCCCTAATATCTTAAAAAATTTTATATGTATCTTTCAAATTCACATTTGTTGTGAATATATATGTGCACATATACATACATTCATCTATTCCCTCCTTCCTGTTGCCATGCACACATGCCATTAGAATTTTTTTACAGACATGGGATCAATTTCATATTGTTTGTTAATCCATACTTTTCCTATCATTAGAATAAGTTAAAGCCAAGCAATGAGAATGAGGGTGATGGATAGTATGTTGTCCTAATCCTGCACTGACATATACACACAGAGGTTTATTCACATATAAATACAACTGTATCTATACATACGTGTGTGTGTGTGTGTGTGTGTGTGTGTGTGTGTGTGTGTGTGTGTAGGGAGAAGGGGAAAGTATCTGAATATCACACTTAACTAGACAACTGCTTTGTGATTAAATCACTGGTATGGCTTCAAAATACACACAAAAAGCTTATGTTAAGAACTCAGCGCCAGATTCTTAATGTCAGGAAATCGAAAGCATATGAAACTTCTGGAATCCCATTCTGCTGCATTTCAATTCATTGAGCTTAACACACTCACATCAGCTTAAGTCACATAGATTCAAATACCTGCCTCAGTCATTTTGTTCCTGGTGTCTGTGACTTTGAATGGACTTAGTAGCCGGATCCTCAGAAATGCATCCTTTGGACTTGGTTTGCTTTGTGGGGGAAGGGGGCGGCTGGGTCACTTAATGATATAATATGAATTTTTAAAGCCCTACCGTATTCCACAGGTGAGTTTGTTCAGGCTCACTGGTCGGACGGCTTCCTTCTGAGTGCCCTTGACGAAGACACTGCCTTTTAAGGTTTTTGTGTATTAATTTTGACAGTAGCCGCTGTCTCTATTTGTGCGGTCCGGTTTGACTGCAGCCTTGCTTCAGGTTTAGCATTTGGACCAAGCAGCACAACAGTGATTAATAATAAACTAGCAGCTGCAGACCTCTATTGTTTGTAAGCACTGTGGAAGTTCACTATGAAATTTCGTGCCTGCAGAATTTTGAAAAATCTGAACGCTAAGTTTAGTAAGGTTTTATTTCTCACAAATCACTAATCACTAGGTGTGTAGGCTCACTGGTTGCTAATCAAGGTTTTCAAATATGGTAATTAATTTATGCGTACTAATCAGGTGATGAGTGCATACTGTGATATTTTTAACTTGTCCTCATTAATAAATATACTGTACTAGAGACATTTTTTACTTAGACACGTGGCTGAACTTCTTTAAGGAAAGTGTAATCCGAAAACCATTTTAGATTTAATCGGGACAGTTTTCATTTCCGTCAGTATGAAAATTGTGTCAGTGTAGTTCTACACGTGATTTCTCACTGCTTTTCCTTGAGGTTATTATCAGCGATGGCCAGGCCGTACTCCTTGATTTTCTCCTGTGACAGTCGATTGAAGCAGATCAGTTTCACTGCGTGAGATTCACAAGAGATAATTCTGACGTTTCCTACCTCATCACTATTTTCCTTCACCTCCTCATTTCCCCTTTATGATATGTGCTGGAGGGATGGCTCATCTTTTGCTTAATTATGATAAGGGTAATATTTTGTTTGTGGTGGATGCTTCCACTGTGTGGGCCCCCATTCCTAACATTCTGAATGTTCCGTCCCATCGTCTTTATGTTCAATAGATATGTCCATTTAAATGGCCTCTGCTTTTTGTTTCCACATGCAAAATGTAGGTGTACTGAATGGCAGGGTGGATTTAAATCAAAGCTGAATACACAGTGATTGCGTGCCGAAATGACCTGAGGTCATTTGTGCTTCTCTGAAGGTCGTTTTGATTAGTCCTCCATGCTATTAGGCCTTCGCCTGCAGTCTGCAATCTCCTCTCCTTAGGTGTTGTAAGAATAATACTGTTCTAGAAGTGTGGTGCAGTTTTGTAAGATTAAACACGGGGCCCTGAGCAACTAGTTGCAGGGAGGTGGTCACTGCTGCTCTTTCAGTTTTTCTGAAGTGGCTAAATGAGAATTTATTTAGGGCACAAGTTGCTTTTAGCTTAGATCCCAACTGCAGTCTGTAATATATTGCCTCTTCTTCAGAACCCAGTTCCCCATTATTTCTGGTGTTTGCTATAGTTTGCCTTGTTGGTTTGACTCAAAATCCTAAGTGTATTATTTTAATTTGCAAGATTCTTAGCAGTGACTTAATCTCAAGGGTTGCAGCAACTATTGAGAATAGTTGAACATAATAGTCAACTTATAGGTGACTAACATAATCGTATTTGTTGTCATAGAAGCTCACTGCAGCTGCATCTTGTAGAATAGATGGAAGAATGCAAGGATGGGTAAAGCCTCCTGCAATAATTCAGGAAAGATGATGCATTGAAATAAGCGCAGTGTTTCCCAAACTTTTGACATATATGTACCCCTTCTATAATTTTCATAACGCTGAGTACTCATCGTACTCATGAGAACATAGAATTAGGCGCAGCTAAGGATGGTGCAGTGCATGTCCCCACCAAACTCCTATGCAACGCGTACCCCCACCAAACTCTTCCTGTACCCCTGGGGGTACGTGTACCACACTTTGGGAAACATTGAAATAAGGCATCGATGGTGGGGTGTTGTTCTCGCAGGATTGGGAATCTATTGGACATAGGATGGAGGAGGAAGAGAAAGTCAAGAAAGATGCCCAGAATTCTGACCTTAGCTATTGGGTTGATGATCCTTGGAGCAGATCCCCTTTTGGTAAGGTGCTAAGTTTAATGTTGGATATGTAATACAAATGATTGCAGTATACCCTTCACTCATATTCACCAAAGGTGGACATTTTACCTTATCTACTTTATAGTTTCTCTTTCTATCTCTTTTGTTTGTTCTTACCATTTCTAAGATGTTGTCTTCAATTATTTTTTTTTTAATTTTAATTTAAAAAATATATTTTATTGATTTTTTTACAGAGAGGAAGAGAGAGGAATAGAGAGTTAGAAACATCGATGAGAGAGAGACATCGATCAGCTGCCTCTTGCACACCCCCCACTGCGGATGTGCCCACAACCAAAGTATGTGCCCTTGACCGGAATTGAATCCAGGACCCTTCAGTCCGCAGGCTGATGCTCTATCCACTGAGCCAAACAAGTTTTGGCTGTCTTCAATTATTTCACTGAATATTTCCCCAAATGGATTTAAAAACCAAGTTGACATTAATTTAGCATCATTATTAGCTAATTTACAGATCTTATTCAGATTTTGCAGTTGTCCCAGCAATGTTCTTATATGCAGAACAAAACCTCCTGGTCTTGAATTGCAGTCAGTTAGCATGTCTTTTTAGAGTCCTATAACCTGGAGTAATTTTTCAGTCTTCAGCTAGTGGATGTTTGAATGGCTTTGGAATTATGTGTGTGTGTGTGTGTGTGTGTGTGTGTGTGTGTGTGTGTGTGTGTGTGTGAGAGAGAGAGAGAGAGAGAGAGAGAGAGAGAGAGAGAGAGAGAGAGAGAGAAGAGGTCATATTGGTGTGGAAAACAGATTTGTGATCATGGTCCTTGGACCACAGAGAACTAGAAGGTGACTGTGGTGAACCAGACTGTCTACTATACATGTGCTAAAAAGGCGAATAGTTGACTAATATAAGGTGGAAGCAGATCTGTTACTCAGGGAACCTTGGTGTTGATTCTGTTTTGAATAGAATGGTGAAGAATTGGCTTATTTTTTTTTTCTTCAGGAACTAGGTGAGACTGATGCATAGGTAGAGATACATAGACATATCTCCAACCTTCAGAGAAACATACACCTGACTGTGTACATCTGTGTACGTTCTTCCTGTCTGACAATATAGCGCCCACTGTAAAGGCCTGAAGCATAGTAAAAAATTGAGCTGCTTCCATCTGCCTTGGACACACTGTCACTGTTAGGGACTTGCCTCTGTGAAGGACTCTTGAGAATTTGTGTTCCTGCTCTACAGCCATTTTGGTGACAGCACAATTCCATATTCTTGCCTACCTACATTCATTAACTTTTATGCAGAACAAGGGTTTTGTGTGTGTGTGTGTGTTCTTTTTGCATATTATTAGACACCTAAAATTATGTACAACCTCTCAGTTAGAAGGGGAAAAATTGTAATATTTGTAATACTTATTCTTCTGTTTTGCATTATACCTTTAATTACATAGGAATATATGTTTTCTCTTGTGTCAGGTGTTGAGTATCATTTTTATTTTATGTCTCTAGGACCTGTGCATGTGCAGGTTTGCTCAGAGGCTCCTGTCTGCATGCAGTGATGGTCGCCAGCTCTAGTTATCATGTCCACACTTGCACTTGAGTCTTTGAGTGGTTAAGAGGCAGGCTTTGCTGTCCGACTGGCCTGGATTTGAATCCAACTTTGTGAATTTGGGCAAATCACTTAACCTTTCAAAATTCATTTTCCTTTTTCAAAATGGGGAGAACATTGTCAACTTTTTATGGCTGGTTTTCAGGTTTAAATGAGATCATACATATTAAAAATTTACTGTAGCATCTGGCACAAATTAAGAATGCAGGAACTGTAGCTGATATTATTTTATTTCCTGCTTCCTGTTTGCTTATTATAATCCATTAACCTTGAGAGTTGACTGCCCTATTTATTTCCTGTTTTCTAAAGCAAATGTTAATATCTCCTACAGGATTTTGTCTCTACAATTATCCGTTTGCTTGACAGCCCCTCAGCTTCCATTCGAGCCAAAGCCTTTCTGGTTCTTTTATATATTTTGATCCACAACCACGAGATGCTGCTGCTCAGCTGCCAAGCAAGGTATGATTTTCTCTGATGACTTCATCAACGTGTTCAGATTGGTGCCTGTTTCATTATTTTTTAGCCTCTATGTGTCTGGTATTGAATTTTTTTCTTGGTTTTCTCAAGGGTTTAATATTTCATTGTGCAGCCTCCGCTTGGAAACCCTGGAGACCAGGGAGGCTGTGGAACTGAAGCAGGTGGTGGGAGCTAGCTGGAGTTTCCCAGGTCTACGGACGATCCCAGGCGGATATTGAGGTGGCTCTGGCTTTCACCTTTGGGAGGTATTCCTGGCCCAGGGTCTTGGTGGTAGTTTTCATCATTGTAGGATTCTGGAATGTGTGGTAGCCAGCCCGCAGGACAGCCTGGTGAAGTAGAGGAAGGGGCAGGGCAGGGATCGGGAATGTTAGGACAGGCAGGTCTCTCACTCTCTGGGCTTCCCCCACCCCAGAGCCGTCCTGCATGTACTCGGTTCTCTTCACGCTCGTTGCTTCCTGAGTAGCATCTTCTGAACTGTCCAGTCCATATGCACCGTTGAACCCCAGAGAGACTGTAAAAACATGGTCTAATTTCTATTTATCAGTCTAGCATTTTAATGGAGGAGAGCCTGGTGTTATTGAGATGGATCTTGATTAGAGATTGGCAGACTTTTTCTTGTGAACATCTGGAGAGTAAATATTTTAGGTTTTGTGCATCAAGAGGCAAAATTGTGACTATTATGTAGGTACTTACATAACAAGAGAGGAAACAAATGTATATATATATATATATATATATATATATATATATATATATATATATATAGTAATACAGTTATAATGAGAAGAATAGAATTTTTTTCTTGGTGGGTAGGGAGACAGAACATTTTGCTTAATTAGGGGTCAAAGTTAATGTCCCCCTCAACAAAGCAATGACAGGTGTTCATGATAGTGCTGATCTCTAATGTTGTTTTATGATTTCAGAGAGGAAAGGAAAGGGAGAAAGAGATAGAAACATCAATGATGAGAGAGAATCATTGATTGGCTGCCTCCTGCATGCCACCCACGGGGGATTGAGCCCACAGCCTGGGCATGTGCCCTGACTGGGAATCTTAAGCATGACCTATTGGTTTATAGGTTGACATTGAACCACTGAGTCATGTGGGCTGGGCATTTTGTGCTTTTAAAAATAATATGTCCAGGGATTTTTAGTTATTAAGATGGGGACTTGAGAGGATTGGGGTTGCACCAACTAGGCAGAACTAGAAATCCAAAGTCTCTTTTGAACATGGTTCTTGGAAATGTGAATAGATCCAACTTTTTGGAAAGTTACTCAGAAACACTCGTGACTATGAACAGTATTCATCACTTTGGTTCTAACAGGCCTACCTTTGATATTTAGCTGCTAGAAATAGAGGTATGAATTATTTAGGAAATATGCATGATGGTATCCAATGTAGCATTGTTTCTAGTGGTCAGTATCTGGAAATATAATTCATGTCCATTGATATTGAAATACTTCAACTAGAAGTCACTGTCTCGTTTGATTAGCTTGGAGGGATGTTCATTATATTATATATAGGTAAGTTTAAAAAATGGAAGGACAATTATAGTATATTAACTAGAGGCTCAGTGCATGAAATTGTGTGTGGGTAGGGTCTCTGGGCCTAGTTTGTGATCAGGGCCATCTTATCACCATCCATCCCAGTTCCCCCTTTGCCACCCACCCCAGTTCCCCCTTTGCCATCCACCGATGGGAGCCTGATGGCTGGGGAAGGGACTGAGAGGTTGGCCATTGCTGCCTGCTTGTCGGTCCCACCCCCACCGTGGGTTGCCCTTTGTGTGGGGGTGACCGGCAGGGCAGGGGCCTTGGCCTGGCACCGCCCACATCCCTCGCCACCCACCCTGTTTCCCATTTGCCATCGGTGATTGGAGCCACCACTCTGGTTCCCGTTCACCATCGGTGATTGGAGGCTGCCTGTTGGGGAAAGGGACAGTTTCAGGAAGCCATTTCTTCTTTCAGTCAAGCTAGGCTCTCCTGAAGGGATACTTGCAAGATGAGTGAATTTCATGGGCGGGAGCATGTTACCATACTTCTTTTGAGACGTGGTCAGTGCGCCTCATAATGACTGATCAAGCAGTCGTTCTGGTCGTTTTGCCATTATGGTTGCTAGGCTTTTATTATATAGGATTATGAAGTTATTTTTAGAAAACAAATAAAAATGGCAAAATTCTTCTATTTGTGTGTATTTGTTTAAAATTTTATTTTTAAAAACCTGCATGGAGAGATATACATGCAGATTATCTGAGGAGGATGGGATAGAGATATTATGTATCTTAATTCATTTTCAGCCTTATTACAATAAGTACATTTCACTCCTATAATTAAGAAAAATATTTAATGAAGCAACAAACAAACTCCTTAAAACTAAAATAAATATTAGCAATTAGAAAAATTGCCAGTCAATTTTGAAGGGGAACCCCTAAGGCAGTCAAAGCTCAATTTTTTTAGACTTTGTAGATTAAATTCAGTAATAAAATTACTCCCAGACACACAGGCAGCCAGTACAGACTATGCAAAGATAGTTTCTATTTGTTCCTTTGTGCTCGGCTGCCCACGTATTGGTTAGTGTGCAATTTTATAAAATGCAAGGTTGAATATAAAAGTATGGAAAAGAGAGGCAGACTCAGGCCAGAGAGATGTTAAAAGTGTCTTTGATGAGTTTATATGGAAAAAAAGTCTCCCTTCCTTACTTGTCTCCTGAAACTCCACTTGCTGCTGGAGTTCTGAGTTTACCATGTGCTGCCGTGTGCCTGAGACCCAAAAGCTCATGTCAGGAGCCCACGATAACCTTTACTACATTATGTAGATATTTTTCCTGCTTACCATTGTCACTGTTGGCCTTTTATGGATTAAATTTCAGCACATTTTTTATGATGTCAGCTCTCACGTCTTTCTATCATGGCGGCAGTGAAATGGAGCTGTCAGAATCGGATAAAAATGATATGATGGCCCCTGAATGTCCACCTATTACTTCAAATGGCTTCATGCTCATATTGAATATGGCAGGTAATAAAATAGGGTCCTGTGTGTCTCTAGAAATGATAACCCTTTTAGAGGATGAATAGGCTTTTATATCTATTGTATGGGTTTGCTGCGAGCCTGACATGCCAGTGCCTCTTGATGGATCAGGTTTTCCAAGAGGTTTTGCTCCCTCCATAACATTGCTGTTAATATGGTTATGGGGGGGGGGGGGGGGAGAGAAACTGCTTTGATCTTAAAAGAACAATTAAAAAAATATTTACCCTATGTGATTGGTTAACTGTGTGGGAAAAAATTATCTTCTCAGCTTACACCATACAAAAGTCAATTCCAGATGAATTAAAGAATTATGTACCAAAAGAAACTATAAACAGCTGGAAGAAAAAATATGTTTAAATATGGGTAAGGACAGCTTTTCTGAGTAGAAACCATAATGAAAGAAACCATAAAAGGAAATTCTGAGAGTTTGAGGCTATATATAGATCAGATACTTTTTCTATTTCCCCAAAATCATAAATCAAAAAATTCTTGCTTTCAAAATCTGTACATTTTTTTGCATTATATATAACAATCTATGCACTGTAAAGAGATTTATAAAGATGCTGAACAGATATTCAGCCTCCTTAATACTCAAAAGAAATGCGAATTGAAATAAGCAAATATTATTTCTACCCATTGTAATAGCAAATTAAGACAAGAAACTATCGATATCTTATGTCCAATTGGTGGGACTACCTTTTAGAGGGCATTTCTAAGTATGTATCAGGAATCCCTCTGATCCAGCAGTCCACTGACATAAATAACCTTGATTACAGGTTTGTGCATTGGCTGAGGATGTCAGGTACCTGGAAGATCTTGGTTGCCAGGTTTTCATTAACTTTATCTATTAGCTATGGAAGAACTTAGAGGCCCTTAAGAGACTCCTTTGGGTTCTGATTGCCCCTGTCTGCACTATTTGGCAGCAATCCGATTTTCTCTTGGTAATCATGCTCACTCTTGTCCTGTAGAGCAACCTTCTTCATTCTCCCAGATTGAACTGTTGTGTCCTCTGGTGGGAACTTTTCCTTCCTGGGAACCAGTCCAGCGGAGCTCAGGGTCATGGAGGCAGGAAGACAAACCCTGGGAGCTGGCTATTAGATGTAATAGTGACAGGTGGTCACTCCCACTTCTACCCCGTGGTTGCCAGACCTGTGTTTAGACTATGGAAGAGACAAAAGCGTATGTTTTGCTTGTGCTGATTCAAAGCATATGCTTCATTGTTGTAAGATAGAGCCCAACTCTGCGCTGTGTTTTCCAGTTGGCACTGTGACTGAGTTGTTAGGAAGCCATTTTTTCTTTCAGTCAAGCTAGGCTCTTCTGAAGGGATACTTGCAAGATGAGTGAATTTCATGGGCCAGAGCATGTTACCATACTTCTTTTGCTATTAATAAGTTCCTTTATGTTGATTACCATGATAGTAAATAAGTTAGTTATTAAGTGGTGCTAAGCCTCGTGCAATGGAAATTCCAAAAAAAATATGTTTCTTTTGGAACCCAGGTTGAGAACCACTAGCAGGGTCACCTAAGACCATTGGAAAACACAGATATTGACATTACGATTCAAAACAGTGGCAAAATTACAGTTATGAAGTAGCAACGAAAATAATTTTATGGTTGGGGGTCACCACAACATGAGGAACTATATTAAAGGGTCGGGGCATTAGAAAGGTTGAGAACCACTGTACCAGAGGGATAAACAAGTATAGGACATGACATGTTTGGCCACAGAAGCATGGAGATACAGCAGGAGGACATTCTAGAAAGCAGGAGGGAAGCATACAGGTGGATGTGTGTGGAATAAGCATAAGGATTCCTTTAGGGACGGGAGTAAGAAAATTGTGGTCCAGTTAGTGGGAATGAATCCTGGAGGAAAACGGAGGTAGGGGGGTGGAGAGTAGATTGGAAAACACAATCCTGGGGAGCAATGATCCTATTAAAGGCAATGGAGGCATAAAAAACAAAACAAAACAACAAAAAAAAACAGAAGAAGGGATCTTATTTATTTGTGGTCTACTTAGATTACTGTTCAGATTGTTAATCTTTTTAACTTGATACTAGGACATCAAGAAATATCATGTGCAGTTTAGTTGTAGAGCAATTGTAAAGTGTTTATGGATACTATGCTCAAATGTTCCCATATTTTATTCCCTTCGTAGACTGCAAATTCTTTTAGTAACTAATGTGCCCTTGTCAGTAAAGTAAATTTATTCTATAGCTTGTGTAAACACATTCTGTAATGGGAAGGCATTGGGGAGAGCATCCCAGAAGGAGGAAATGGAGCATCATTCTAGAGTTCGTTTCATATTGTTATGGATCCCATCAGTCTTTTATTTCTCCCAGCAGAGCCCATGGATATTTCCTTATGTGGGAACAGCCTGTACTAGTGACTGAAAACTATTCGAGTAGCTTTTCCCTTAAAGATGTTTTAAACTACGGTAATTAAGCTGCACGTTATTAAATGTTGTCATAGATCATTTAAATTTTAGAGAAAAATATGACTCCTTATGGACAAGTGAGAATTTACTTTTTTATACTCTGCAAAATTTGGATTTCACTTATGAAATAGTGGAGTCCTATTTCTTTGGTTTACTCATTAATCAAGAAGATTTGTGGTCAGATTCTGCTGACTTAGGCACATTTTCTCTGCATTTGACTAATGTCATATATTCGTTAGAGTGTGGCTCGGGCTGTCATCTACAACAAGAACAGAGGATACTCACCGGCTTCCATGGCACTTAAGATTTTTGATTTGGTTTTTATCCCCATGTGTTCACACATAAAGCAAAACCATGAAAAAATCTGCTAAGAGAGCCACAAAGATTCCAAGGGTTGAGATTTCAGTCCCCTTCACGTGTATTTATTACATGTGAACCACCTCTTTGCATCTGGCAGTGGGAGCTGCTTGGAAGTTCTTCCTGAGAAGTAGCAGTTGGCTGGGATGAGTGCGAGAACAGAGCTGAGAGATGGATGATGGCCAGGGAGGCCTTGGCCTGATGCAGTCAGCGGCTCTGTGCCTTTAGTGTGCTGAGGGGAACGGGAAGACGACTGGTGGGTCCAGTAAAGGGGATGGGTATGGGCCTAAAACTTGTAAACAGCAGCCTAAGTATCTAGCGTGATAGTCCAATATGATGGGGTGGACACCGTTGGTTCAGAAATTGATATTAAAGGGATGCCAGTGGTTTGAAGAAGAAATAAGTTTATTAAAAGGCAGAAATCATAAGATTACTGGACAAAAGGACATGTGAAACCTGGTGATGGAACGAAACTCTTTCTTTGGCTTTATGTACACGATTTACTAAAGGAACTGGAATTCATGCAGTTGGCCCGAGGTTCCAAGCAAGTTGCATACATTGAATACTGATGACAAAGTGCAGGCAACTTGCGGTTCTACTTTGAATCTTTGAAGCTCTAAGAACCGTCTTCTGTCCAGATGCCTTTGCTTGCCTTTCACTAGCATCTGGGGAATGCTTTTTTGTTTTTTTTTCCACGGGCTAAGGGCAGATGATGTCATCAGGGCCCTGTGTTGTCATACACTGGCAGAGATACCAGTTGTCTTACTTTCTTTAAAAAAAAAAAAAAAAAAAAAAAAAAAAAAAAAAAAAATATATATATATATATATATATATATATATATATATATATTATTCATTTTTTACAGAGAGGAAGGGAGAGAGATAGAGAGCTAGAAACGTCGATGAGAGAGAAACATCGACCAGCTGCCCCTTGCACACCCCCTACTGGGGATGTGCCCGCAACCAATGTACATGCCCTTGACCGGAATCGAACCTGGGACCCTTCAGTCCGCAGACCAACGCTCTACCACTGAGCCAAACCGGTTTCAGCATAGTTGTCTTACTTTCTTTCTGCATAAATGTGAGGCTTCTCTGAGGCCAAAATGGGCTGTGCCTGACGTGTTGCTACCAATCTGAATGCCAACATGACGGGGTCTGCCCGCCCCCTGGAGACAGTGCCATGGCGGCATCTTCAGACAGATGCCATCAGCTCTCTTATCCTGAGAGGTGACCTGCCGCACTCTTCTGTTCGCAGACTGGTGATGTACATCGAGAGAGACAGCAGGAAGACCTCCCCGGGCAAGGAGCGGCAGCAGAGCGGCAACGAGTACCTGTCCAGATGCCTGGACCTCCTCATCCGCCACATGGTGCAGGAAGTGCCGCGCCTCCTGGGTAAGCCGAGTCTCACCCTCGGGCCCCTTGCTGCTCCCCTTGCTGGGACCTGGCTTTTCGGGCACCGCCCTCTTTTTATTCTCGCTGGTGTGTCATTGCAGAGCGACACTCTTCCTTGAATGTGTAGTTTCAGCATCTGTTTTCCTAGTTATTTTGCATCAGTGAGGTGACTGAGGCAGGAGCCCGCTGAAGGTTATGTTGGGGTGTCCTCTATGGTAAATGGGTGGTTTTGAAAAATAAGTAAAAGGAAAGCATTTTAATTGCTCAAAATTGGACTGATGCTCTTATTTTGGATAGTCTCGCTCAAATTTTCTCTCTGCTTACAAAACTTACTCTTTTAGATGAGAACCGCAGATTTACTTATTGTTCAAAGGACTTAGGAGTGCATATACATTAACATTTGATATTAAAGGCTTTCAGATTAAAATTTAAAATTTTCTATAGCTTGAAAAATTAAAAAATATCTAACTCTGATTTGCAAAAGATGTTTTTTTACAGCTAATCCCTTGTTTCATTGTTATTTGCAGAAATTAAAATCTAAGGGAGGTTTACATTTAGTTTAAATCCCATTTCATGCTTTTGCAGCAGATGTAGCATGAAACCAGGAATGTTTATTGCTAAATTGATCCCATCCATTTTGGTAAATAGACTCTGAAATTCATGATATGAAGTCAGAGTAATGGAAATATCTTCATGGCTGAATGATATGCCTCTTTGCTTCTTACTGATACTTTGGTAGATTTTTTATATTTTTAAAAATATTGATTTTTTTACAGAGAGGAAGGGAGAGGTATAGAAAGTTAGAAACATCAATGAGAGAGAAACATCAATTCAGCTGCCTCCTGCACATTCACCCCTGGGGATGTGCCTGCAACCAAGGTACATGCCCTTGACCAGGATCGAACCTGGGACCCTTCAGTCCACAGGCTGACGCTCTATCCACTGAGCCAAACCGGTTAGGGCTGGGAGATTTTTTTGTCTGTTAATAACTGAAAATAGAGCATTTCAAAATTTATTTTGGATTGTAACCTTTGTTTAGTCTTCAGTCTGAAGGCTTTGTGAGTCTAGTTTCTTTCTATAATACTAGACTCTCTCTGTTTAAGATATGCTGATTAGGTTCAAATATCCACAATATAAGTTTTATTTATTATTGGACTGATTATCCAATGAGAAGTTTTATGAATTGATCTGGTTTTATTTCCATCTATTCTATTATTAGAAATTGTGATCTATAATCTATTCACTTATCATCTTTAACATTTTTTTCTGTTTACCAGAATAATAGGCGCTTATGCTTAAAATTTAGAAAACACACACACACATAAAAGAAGGAAAATTATTTCTCAAACCCCCACTCTACCATGCTATTTATAAACTCAGATTTCTAGGTGAGAGATTTAGAAGCCACAGCTTTTTGTTACAGTCCCAGTATTTGTAAGTAATATCTCAGCTTCTGTCCACTTCATTTACTGTAGAGGTTCATTCCCTCAGCAATCTTATTAGTTTTCCAGCCATGACCGGTGGTCCCTGATTATCTTTGATCTTCACCTCTGCAGGTGACATTCTCACCGCCCTGGCTAATGTGTCCGGTCGTAAACACCCATCAACTGTTCAAGCGAAGCAGCTGAAGCTGTGTCTCCCCCTGATGCCCGTGGTGCTTCACCTCGTCACCTCCCAGGTATGATCTTATCCAGAGAAAAATAATATGACCTTGACTCTCTTCTTTTTTAAGAAAATGTGTTTTTATTTATTTTTTGTTTTTTAGAGAGAGAAAGGGAGAGGGAGAGAGAGAGAGAAACATCAATGAGAGAAAATCATTGATCGGCTGCCTCCCATATGCCCCCTACTGGGGATTGAGCCCACAACCCTGGCATGTGCCCTGATGGGGAATCGAACCAGCAACCTCTTGGTTCATGGGTCGACTTTTAACTGCTGAGCGGGGCTGTGACTCACCTTCTTTGTAAACTGGAGCTGAGGAACGCCAACTCAGACAAAACATGTTCATTTATTTCCCCTTTGTACATGACTTTCAGGATTTAATCTGTGGAAACTCTCACCACACAGGTATTTCGACCTCGAGTTGTAACGGAAGAGTTCCTTTTCAGTTATGGAACCATTCTTGTGAGTAACACTGAATTTTTCATGTTCCCGATAAAAATGTGGCTGTCCCGATAAAAATGTGGTGGTGGAATTTGGTGTCAGAATGAGATAATTTAACAATTCTCATGGTATTTATTTGTCTCCAGGGAAGCAACCTTTTCCTGTTTTTATCTGTTGACTGTAATAAAATTTGGCATTTGGAGAAAAATACATTTTCTCCTGATAATGTATGTTGTTCACAGACAGTGCCAAGTAGGGAAAGTAAGTCCATAGCAAACACTTTTATTCACTTTGGTATTACACATTATGGGAAAATGTTAAATAATAAAACTGGTGAAAAGGGAATGTGAGGATATATTGTTATTGTTATTTACATTGGCTTACCTTGCCCAATTATGCACTGTCACTTTTTTATGATGGCACTTCTCTAAGTAAAGCTTAATTTAACTTTTTCTTTAATTTTGATGAGATGGGTAGCAATGAAAAACAAATCAGTGTGCTATCTTTCATTCCAGTTTTTGCTAAAAAAAAATACTGTTTGTATTCAGATTGTGGCCCGTGAATTATGTTATCTTTTACCCTTGCCTGGCAGAGTTGCAGGTGTATCCTCCATAAAATGGAGAGCTTTTCAGAGGGAAAGCTAAGCATTTGTCACGCAGCTCCTCCATTTTTGCGTTGATGTTTATAATGAACAGTGAGCTGAGATTTTTCAAAATGCTGCAGAGTTATCTGTTAAGCAAACATCTCAAGGTTATTTTTATTTATTTATTTTTCAATAAAAAAAGGATAGTCATCCACAAGTGGGAATATAGCTTTCTAGAAGGTCCACCTTGAGGTTAAGAATGATGTTTTGAAGTATAGATGTTGAGTGCAGGTCACTGACTTTTAGTGAGAAGTGTGTGTAGGTAATGCAGTGGGGTCCTTTTGTGCTCAGTTTCAAATCTTTATCACCCTAGCGCCTAGAATCCAAATTCTATAAAGTACATAATTTTTGTTCAACACTCATAAGTTTGCAAATTATTAGAACTTTGTTTACCACCTTCTTTAATTTGCTCTTCAGTCTGCTTCTATGTACAATATGGGTATCATTGTAGCCTGACTATAATTCTGTATTTATAATCCCATTGCACTCCATATCAATGGGTGAAAATAGTGATTTTGCTTGTGGAGCCAACCTTGGAGTATTTTGACACAGTGTTTGTTTGGGACAGGTATAACTGTCCGTGTTCATTCATTTATTTTTTTTTTCTCTGCCTACAGTCACTAAGTACACTTTAGTTTTCAGAGAACTACCAAGTATCTCCAACATAAAGGTCTTCATGGACCTTTAGGAATTACATGTGTTTTAGGGGAGAACTCATCTCCATGTGATTCAGAAACAAGGGAGGAGACACAATGAGGAAAGGTCTCCTAACCTTCTCCCAGATGTGGGTGTACTCTGTGAGGGTGGGTTTATTCTGTAGGGACTTCTTCATGGAGGCCCTTTTAAGGAATGGAAAATAAATTACTTGGCCCTACCTGGTTTGGCTCAGTGGATAGAGCATCATCGGTCTACAGACTGAAGGGTCCCTGGTTCGATTCTGGTCAAGGGCACATGCCCAGGTTGTGGGCTCGATTTCCAATAGAGGAGGTAGCTGATCAATGATTTTCTCTCATCATGGATGTTTCTCTGTCTCTTCCCATTTCCCTTCCTCTCTGAAATCAATAAAAATATATTAAAAAAAGAAAAACATCAATCAGAACGTCAAACCTCTGGGAAGGTAGGGGACAGTGGGGGTAAAGGGGAGAGATCAACCAAAGGACTTATATGCATGCATATAAGCCTAATCAATGGACACAGACAACAGGGGGGGGTGGGGAAATGAATGGAGGTGGGGGAATAAGGACATATATGTAATACCTTAATCAATAAAGAAATTAAAAAAAAAGAAAATAACTTACTTGGTTCAAAGATAATTATGATATTGGAAAATTTTTATCAGTTTTTTTTTTCCTTATAATGTCACTCAAGTAGAGGGAGCTTAGGTCTCTTCAGGATATTTTCCTAGATGAAATCTGGGCCATTCCCAGAATTCTTTTGTTATTTCTCTTATCACATTTGTTATCTGGCCTTAGCTGTATGTTGGTACTGATGAAATACTAGTAAAAGGGAGAAAAGTAGTAACTCAAAGACCTGGATTCAGTTACCCACACAGTTCTGTGCATGTTATTATGAGCCATTGAGGTTGGATGTTGCTTCTAGGAGTTGATTTCTAATCTATCCAGAAGACGCCAGAGATATTATTCAAGGCAATAGTGACCTACTGATACCATGAGGCACAATCAACTCCTCCCATGTCTCAGAGCCCCTTAGAAATTCACAGTGCCGTTTAGCAAACCTCTTGAGTTTTCTGCTTTAAGAGTATTCTTTTTAATTTTGTTTAAACAAAAGTTTCCTAAACTTGTTTGAGAGGCTTTGCACAGCTATAAATGTCTGTAGCCCGGTCCATAGAACAACTTTGTGAAACTATCCTGAGCACAACGTGTCTCTGTCTTGGTGGCATGTTCCATTCATGTGTAGACACTTAGCATCATGTTTGGGAAGCCTTACTGGTCTATCTGTAGATAAATACCATTTTCTGTATTTTTCAAGATTTATCTGGTTGAGTAGCTACTGTATGTACTATGGCAGGTCTATTATATTTTCTTCATATTTTAAAAATATGCCTTAATTTGAAGTACTCAAACTTGGTCGACCTTTAGTAACTATCCAGTAGCAGCAACTTGCTGCCAAGAACTTTCTAGGCTTCTGCTACAGCAGCTTCGCAGGAGCTGTTGGCCTGCCTCAGGTGGGTGTGGAGACAGCAGTCAATGTTGGTGTGATCTCCCCTCATTAAAAGGGTCGTAAAGGAGCAGGCTGGAGGGGCTTTGGCATTGTGCTTCTCATTGGCTTCCATTTCTATACTGGCATCACCACATGGTTTGCCTCTTTAATCTGTGGACATCTTTTATTTTTTAGATAGAAAAATTTAAGATACTTCTTATATATGGAGGCATGAACCTCCCCCTGCCCCCAAGTAAAATGAAGTTTTGGTCGTCTTATACTTAAAAGAGACTAGTATTTGGAAAAAAAAAATTGGCAGGATACCTGTAAACCATTATTAAGTTTTCAAAAGCTCCAGGCAAAAGAGGGCTACACAGCTGATAATGGTTGTTTCACTTCTTATTGATAGAAGCAGTATGTCATCATACTTGTTTTCCTCTTCAGTAAAATAACGTACCTAAGGATATGTCAGCAGTAAAGCATCTGCGCAGGTGCGAAGGGGAAATTCCGTGGTGACTACTATAGTTTTTTGGGCCTCCGTTGAATTGGGCTGGGAAACAGGAAGTGATGACATTGAGGAAATATGTTCAGGAACTCATGATGTGTACTAACCCAATGTTCACTGTGTTTCTCTTGTCCTTTTGAAGATGCTCTTGATTAATGAGCTGAGGAAGAGAACTTTGTTGTGTTTGTTCTTAAGTTCCGGCTTTACTAGTTTATAAAAGAGTTATGGTTGTGTGATGATTTGACTGTAGTTTTCTACAAAAAGATCACAATCCAAATTTTCAAATAAAGGAGGAAAAAGAAATGATAACATTTTGATAGATTATCATGCAAGAATATAATTATAAACTCCATCATTCATGAATCTTTACTTACCCCGGCACTGAGATAGTTATTCAAAGAAAAGACATACTTCCTGCCTTCTGCACGTTCTTATTTTAAGTGAATGTTGCTTTGTTGATCGATTTTTTTTTATTTCAGTTGCAGTAAATGAAGCAGAGTGCAATCTTATATTTGAAAAATATATATTATATAATTATTCATTGCCAAACAAATGTTCTTGTTATGAGTTTTTTCTCTGTTTTCTACAAACCTTGAATTCATATACTCAATTTGCTACAGGAACTTATTTTCAGCCTCTTGGAGTAGTACTGAGTGATATTGAATAGCACCGTCTGCCCTGGAGCCATAACTCTCCATTTTCCCCTTCAGATGGGGCCATTTTCTGCCTTGTACTCCTTCACCCAATGAGCCCATCCTTTTAGCTCCTCTACTAGAACTCGCAGCTTTGAAGCTTGCTCCATCAGAAAGTAGCTTGGTTACCCCTGTGCTGTGACGACTTCATGTACAGATTTCTTGGTCATTGCCCCTCATTCCTCAGAATCTTCCTTGGACCACTGTCAGTCTCTCCAGGCTGCTCCTGGTGCCATTCTTGGAGAATTGGATATCCCTATGGAGGGCCCTCCAAGACTCAGCCTCTCAGCTCTTCCTCCACCTTCTTGTCTTTCCCTTCCACAGCGCCTACACCCATGAACTTACTTTCAGCATCACACTGTCTAATTTTCAATGTCTCTGCTCCCCGTCTCCAACAGCCCTTTGATTCCTCTGAGACTTAATTGGTCTTGCCACTCTCCACTCACCATCCTGCCCTTTCATGACCCAACAGCTGCATTTGGTCTTTGTTCAACTCAGGGTTCCCTAGAGCTCCAGCTCCCTTCTCTGCCCTGGATTCACCTGTAGCTCCCTTTCCTCCATTGTCCTCTGGCAGAGCCTAATCCTGGTTTGATTCAGTTCTCCATGTATCCACCCCTGCTTTGAGGGGCAAATGTAGCTAGAGAACACCATGCAGGTAGCTTGTCTCACTTCAAATTCATGATTGCTCATCTCAGGTGCACCCTCTCTGCAGACTGGTGCATCTAGCTCCCTTTCCTGTTTTTATGTACCTTGCACGCTCACCTACATGACCCTTTACAAGTTCCCCCTCACCTTGAATCTCCAGTGCCTCCTACTGTATCTTCACTCTCACCTGAGTAATTCCCATCACACTAAGAAGGAAGAAGAAACATATCAAGACATTAAAATTGGTAAATCAAGGAAACATTAAGTAGGGACTTAATAAAATAAATCAGGGTAGGTATAAGGAAGAAAAAAAGTTAAAAGTAGTTATAGTACACTAATTGACATTTAGAAAGACAAAATTAACACACATGCATGGTTAGAAAATTCTAACAGTGCAGAAAGGCAGACAATGAAAAGTGAAAACACGCCACCCAATCTTTGGGGAAGCATTTCCCTTCCCCAAAGGGAACCTCTGCCAGCGGTTTCCTTTTTATTCACATCTATATTTGTGCTTTATCTCTGGATTCTTTTAAAATTATACAGGAAATATCATAGCCTAAACACAGTTCAGTCTTATCTTTCTTAGTAAACCATGGACGTTTGGTAGTTTTAAATCAAAAGACGTCTCTACTGGTGAGTGAGTATGGCTGCTATTGGGAATGGCTATGGATCAGTTGAATTACCTTCACTCTTGCAGGTTGTCCTATCTGGACTTATCTTGCTATTGAATTTATTCCAACATTAAGTCTCATCGATGGTGATTGGGATCTTTAAAAATGATGACAGTTAATAATGTATATATGCTGTTTCAGATGATCATATTTTAAAACGATGATTATGGAGTTTATAATTTGTGTATAGTATTTAATGCCTTCCATGAGTTGTTTCATTAAGAAGGTAGGTGGTTTGGGGGAAAATTGTTACCTATGTTTTATTTCAGAGTTATTTTGAAATCCCCACTCATTAGTATTTTTATTTTTCACAGAGTCATATTAAGTCGATAGACTCAGGAGAAACTAACATAGAAGGAGCCATAGGTGAGTAGATCATAGGAACATTTTACATCCTTGACTGAAGTACTGTGATATTGTGATTTTGAACATGTAAACAAACACTTGCGATAGTTACCTATATTTCTAGGACTGATGGCATCGGAAGAATTTATCAAGATCACGTTGTCGGCTTTTGAAGCAATAATACAGTATCCTGTTTTACTGAAGGACTATTGCTCTAAGGTCAGTCCTGGCAGCTTTTAAACATATGCTTTTTTATTTACTTGGGAATTCTGCATATGGTAGAAATCTGAGTATATACATATGCCATAATTTTACTTACTTTTGATAGACATTAGGTTTTACCTAGTTTTTGGCATTTATAAATATTGATGGGTATTCTTGTACATGTGTTTTGCTCTGCGTAAGCATGCACTACTTTTAGGGTACATACTTGGGAATGGGATCAGTGAGTCTAGGACAGTGGTCAGCATACTCACAAGTCAACAGAGCCAAATATCAACAGTGCAACGATTGAAATTTCTTTTGAGAGCCAAATTTTTTAAACTTAAACTTTTTCTAAAGCCATTTCCTAACTCTTGTTACTTCACACCTGGGTATCTAAGCAGTGTTTCACCGTAGTTTTAAATGTTTATATGATCAAGACTGCTAATGAGGCTGAGTAGTTTTTCAAATGTTTCTTGGCCATTTGAGAGCACTCTTTTATGAAGTGCTTGTTCAAGTCCTTGTTTTAATTTCAGAGAGAGGAAAGGAGAGGCAGAGAGAGAGAGAGAAACATGAATGAGAGAGAATCATTGATCACCCGCCTCCTGCATGCTCCCTACTGGGGATTGAGCCCACAACCCAGGCATGTGCCTTGATCGGGAATCAAACCATGGCCTCCAGGTTTATTGGTCAGTGCTCAATCACTGAGCCACGCTGGCCTGGCTTTTTAAAGTCTTTATTGTTGAAAGTTTAACAAATGTCCCTTTTGCCCCCATTGATCCTTGTCCTCTTTTACGACTTTTTTTGGAGGCGAGGATGGGAGGGCCTTTGGTTTTCTGTAGATGCAGTACAATTTAGCTAAATGTGAACCTGCTTTTTTTATTTATCTTGCTTAGGATTATCTGTGCCCCATGAATTTGGATTTTCTTTTTTCATAATTTCTGGGAAATTCTCAGTTATCATCTCTGCTTATTCTCTCTTTCCTTTGCTCTGTCTTCTTCAGCTACTCAGGTCATGTGTACATTAAACTTTCTCTCTGTGTTTTTGATATATTCCATCAATTTTCTCTCTCAGGGTGATATTCTGGATAGCTAGGTTTATATTTTGGATAATTCTATTTCTGTCTTCCATGTCCAGTGTGGTACTAAATATAGCCATTGAGTTTTTAATTTTGGTTACTTTTCATGTGTAGAAGTTTTGTTACCGTTAGAAATTCTGCTTATCTGTTTTTTTTTTAATCTACTATATTTTTAATAATTTTTTGTTCCCTATATATATTTCCTAGTCTGTGATGTATTTACTCACATTTGTTAGAAGTAGTTGTTTTACACTATTTATGATCATTCCAATATCAGGAGACTGTGAGATGCTGTGGTGTCCATCATATCTTATTTGTGTACAAATCGTCTTGTGTTCTTGGAGATTTTCTTTACATTTACCGCTTGTTGGCCATGGCCTTCCTGGGAGCTATGTGTGGATCGTCCCTCCTCCAAGAAGCTTCAGGCTTGTCCTGGGCTCTGTCAGTCAGGGCTCCTTAGACGGAAGGTCATTTGCACCCCATTTGCAAGTCCCTGAGTCTGGAGTCTGAGATCTAACTTCCAATAGGGCCTTCCCAGCATTTCCCTGGTGTGGGAGCGTGTGTAGAGGGGTGGTCCCTGGATCTGGTTCCCCTTACTCTGAGAGTGTAATCCCCGCTCCACGGTGCCTGGCCCAACGTAGGAGACTCACAGAACTCTGAATGCAGCAAGACTGGACTCGGTCTCCATCTCTCGCCCTAGCGGGCCCTCTCAGAGCCCTGTGTTTGCACTATTGGTAAGTGCCTCCAGGGCACTCAATACCTGGTGCTAAGATAATTGCATACAAATGCTCAGACTGAGAAGTGAATTCAGCTCAGCTCTCTGGTTAAAGGTTTCATTCAGAAATTGGTCTGAAAGTTTCCTCATTGTCTTTTCAGACCTTCCCCTTTTTAAGGTTTTGTTCTTTTATATTTTATCTGGCATTTTAAAATTGTTTTCAGTGAGAGAGTTAATCCAAATAATACCTACTATTAGCAGAAACTCTGTTTGTTATGATCACTTTCTGAGTAATGATTCCTCAGTCTTCCATGGAGATAGTGTTTGCTTAAGCGTTGCTTATTGATTGTTTTCTCTAATGAGCAATAACCCCATGGATAATTTTTGTGATCTAGTAGTTCCAAATACCTGTACTTACATTTAAATAAGCACTCAATAGTTTATTTTCTAATCATGAGATGCTATCATAATAATCCTTGAAACTACAGGGTGTATTATGATAAGAACGGTGTCATTGCAACTTATAGGCTTCATAAAAGAATTCTTAATGCTGTAACTCATGGGAAATCCTCTAATTACCACTTCTGGAGCATGACTGGGATACATGAAATTGAGGATTCAGCATCCCAAGGAGCATAACATTGTTTGAAATGTTAGCACAAAACCATGTTCAAGGCTGCTGATCAATACTTGTTATATGGAAGTGGTTGCATGCATTTAATTCTCGCTGAGCACAAGTGCTTAACTTGGATTTTCCCAGAGTTTAGACTATTTTGTGCCTCCGAGTTGGAAATTACCAGTGTGGCCTACAGAGTAGTTAGAAATACCATAACCATTTGATTTGTTCCATTCATGGGTGTTCCAAAATATGTTATGATAGCAATGGGGAAAATAAAGGTGATTCTTTATTAGAAAATTCTGGTAATAATATACATAAGTGGCCTAAAATACATTTCAATTCATTTAGCTTAAAACAATAAACTAAACCATAATATATTTTATTATTACTATTTTTTTTTCCAAAGAGCCTGTCTTTTTGAAAGTTTTTAAGTCTTTGGGGGTGAAATCAAGATGTTAGCATTCATATGTTCCTTTGGAGGCTCCAAGGGGAAAATCTGTTTTCTTGCCATTTGAGCTTCTAGGGTCTGCCTCCATTCTTTGGCTCATGGCTCCTCCTTCTATCTTCCAAGCTGGCAGCACAGCGTCTTCACATCTCTTCTTATAAGGACCCTCCTTGAACATTGGGCCCACCTGTGTAACCCAGGATGGACACCTCAAATCAAAACTCTTAATTTAATCCCATCTGTGAAATCCCATTTGCTGTGTACGGTAAGAAATCAGCTGGTTTCAGGGGTGTGGACGTCTGTCCCTCAGCATTCTGTCTGTCACAGATTCCTGTTTTATCAATGGCTTCATGACTACACTTATTTTGGTGCTCAGAGTATAGCAGATTTGGTCAAGTTGGCTCATGTGTCCTTGTGAGAAAGGCCATCATTTTTTGAGCTAGTCTGTACTTGCTGGCACAACGCGGTGTAACACAGCTTGTAACTTACCCTGGCCTGGCCCTGGACTCAATCTTTTCTTGGTTCCCTTTGGTGGGAAATGGCATTAGAGACCATACTCAGAGAACTAAGGTACTATTTCCTGAAATATCTTAGCTTCTAGGCCCTTCCAAATTTATCATCTTAGAGTTCTGAGACATATAGTTGGGAAGTATATATGTATATACACCTATGAACATACACATATAACCCATTCATATGCACACTTATATACATGTATGTATATACATGTATTAGTATATATATTGAAATCATGTATTCACACCAGGGTGTTCAAATCTTGTCCATCCCCACTTGCCTTCCATCCTCTCTTGCCTTCCCCCATTCCATATTTGCATGTCACTTCTTCTTTTGTAAAAATTCTGGTTTTTTTAGCAACATGAGCCTATTTTCTTAATTGCTTAACCCTAATACATCTACAATGATTACAGAATTGCTTCACCTAAACCAGTACAGAAACAAACCGAATGGCATGAACTGAGATGAATGAGCCGTTAGTGTGAGATTTTATGTTTGTCTGGCTGGCTCTCCTCAGCAGGCTGTGTTTATTGTTTGCTGCAGCTGCTAGTTTCAGAGGCTGATATCCCTTCAGAGGTCTAGTTCTTATCTCTCCTCCTGTCCTTGGGTCTCCGTAAGAATTCCTTCTTAAATAAAGCCCTTAGCTCTGTCAGGTACCACCCTGCGTTATTGTATAGGGGGAGCCCTGCTGAAATGGTTGGCAAGGTGTGGTGAGCTTTGCTTGTGCGGGGCATCGTTTCATTGGTTTGGGCAGCCAGGTGGTGGTGTTGGGCTGTGAATAGTTTCTCCTGCCTTTTTATCAGTGTAGGCAGGGATTTTGTTTGTTGTTGCCAAAACAGTTCATCAAATGAGCTAGTAGGTTTCAAAATTAGACCATGGGTGTGATTTGTCCTTTCTTCATTGTCCATTTTTATTTGGAGGGGAGGGAGCTTATTTTGTAGATTTCAAACCATATTTGATTGTGCTCTGTCTGCTATTACTAGGAAATCATAGAGTTGTTTTGTATAGTGGATATACATCTTCTGTATCTATTTATAAAAATAACCAGGATTAACTTGTCATAGCTCTTTGATGTATTTCACAAAACATGAAGATTATATATCTCTTTTTTTCCTCCAACATTTTGATCATTGTTTATTTTCAACTTGAGTAATGATCACCAGCTCATAGATACATTAATTTGATGGCTTAATATCAACCCATGCCAATCAGATTTTGCATTAAATACTAAAGTTATTTTCATGAACCCTGAAGGTTTTGATGATTATAATGTCATTTTGACCGGGGACTTTTTCAGTTACGTGAGCTTGGTCGTTTATTAAATGTCATGCAGACTTTAGATCCAGGGTAAATTTAGTTGTTGCCTTTTTCCTCACACCTTTGATTAGTGATTCTGTCAATGGACAAAAAAACATATAATAATAGTGGTTGTTACCAAGCCCGTGTGTGCGGAGGTCTGAACTGAGTCTTGAATACCTTTTCTTGTAGGTTGTTGATTATATCCTGCCACCCTTGGTCTCCTTGGTTCAAAGCCAGAATGGTAAGTGACCACATCTCCCAGAATTCCCTCGGTTCCATTCCATCTCCATGGAGTCACGCTCTCGGTGTTCTTTCTTTTCCAGTGGAGTGGAGGCTCTTCAGCTTGCGGTTGCTCTCAGAAACCACGTCTCTGCTGGTGAACCAGGAGGGCGGGGATGGCAAGGAGGCCGCGCCCATCGACTCCGACAGCAACCTTCTGGCTCTCATTAGAGATGTCCTCCTTCCCCAGTGAGTACCGTGCTCTGCACTCGCCCAGAGCGTGTGGGCCACTCAGGATGCCGCGGCCGGACAAGGGCCACCACTGGCCTTGGGGTCTCCCTGTCCTCACATTCATGTCCACGTGCTTATGTTGCTCACCCGTAAGGAGGCTAGGACCAGAGGCAATAACTGTTACACTGCCTGGGACCCAGGAGAATCTCAGTCCATGTTGAAAAATATCCACTTAGAGGTTCGCCTGTGTTCTACAGACTCTGAGATTATGCAGAGTTAAAGGTGATTATGGCTGGGGACAGGGGTGAGGTTTATTATTCAAGGTCAACATGATGAGACTGCTGGAAGATGACATTGGGACTTTCCTGGGCCCTGCTCAGAAATGACAGAGATGGAAATCTTCCTTCCCCCAAACTCTTGTGATGGAAATTAAGTGCAGCTGCAGATACGGGGTGGTGGAACCAGTAATGTAGGAATTATCAGAAAGGGTTACCTTTTCCTTTTTATTCCATCACTCACATAGCAAACACAATAGGGGGATCACAGAGGTCTGGCCTCACGTCGTTTTGAGCAGCAGCGTTGTGTACAGGCTCGCAGCCCGGAGCAGCAGGCTGTCCCCTGGCTGAGGCGTGTGGCAGGCTACACGAACTATTAAGTCTGTGGAGGCGCACTCCGATGCCCGCACAGTGACGGAATCACCTAACGATGCATTTTTCAGAGTGTATCCGCCATTGAGGGGCGCATGTTGTGTGTGACAGTGTGTGAATGGCAGGTATTTATGTGGGTAAATATAAGCTTAGAGCCTTGTGTCATGGGATTAATGCTTTTGGTGCCATCTTACACTTACAAACTGGTTATACATAATCATAAACATCTTCCTGACAGACGCCTAATAATGTGACTTTTGTACCAAGTGTGTTTTTTTTTTAAAAGATGTGTTCTGACTAGCTGCTGGGGAAGCGTTTCACAGGACCTGAACTGTTCCCTCATATGTGGGGAGGGGTTTCCTTTGACGGGACGGGACTTCCCAGTTTAGTAAGAGCTGATAACACAGATGTGAATTTGCAGTAAAATCTCTTCATATCTGAAGTTTGCCCACTTTAGGAGCGGTTTGTAAAATAAAAAGCAGTAAGTCTATAACTCAGTGTTCCTGTTTTATTTGTTTGAGTTGGAATGAATATGTATTTCTTTCAATAGAAAAGGTGCATCCTCACCTTTTCTAGAGATGAAGAATTAAAGAGGAAAATACAGATGTGAGCCACATGACAATTCAGGAACAAGAGTGATGTTAGATGACTTCAGGTTTAACTAAGCAACTTGAAATGCACTTTGGATAACAGTATGGGATCTATTGGGATGTGTTGTGGGGTATTTGCAAAGCTGTAGATGGATTCTGATGTGAAGGGCAGGTCTTGCTCTGCATTTCATTTTCTAATCCTCAGTTTCCTCATCTATAGAATGGGATAATAGTACTTAACTCAGTGTGGGAAATAGTACCCTCTTGACAAATGTTTCCCCGAAAATAAGATATCCTCCGAAAATAAGACCTAGCACATAGAAAGATAAGATATCCCCTGAAAATAAGACCTAGTGCATCTTTGGGAGCAAAAATTAATATAAGACACTGTCTTATTTTAGGGGAAACAGGGTATTATTAGGTCCATTATTAGAATCTCTCTATGCAGATTGTAATGGTACCATAATAGCAATAGTACATACTTCACAGAAGTGAGGAGCCAATAAATGTATAATGCTGACTGCTTGTTGGGCAGATACAGAGAATGGCTCAATCAGTGTTATGTAACTTTTTTTTTTTTAAATGAAAGATAATGTATTCCTTTAACTTTAACTCTGGAAAACTGGAAGCCTTGGCAAGAAGGTTGATTTTTGAAGATAACTCTTGATAATTGTAAGTTTAGAATTGCTAATAATGGAAAACTAGTCTTCTGTAGTGAGTATATAAATATAATGGCTTACAATTATGAAGTTTCTAGTTTATAGGAACTCTGTGGCATCTGCTTCCATTTGGAAAATGTTGTAGCCCCTTATCTGCAGGGGATAGATATGTTCCAAGGCCCTGGGAGATGCCTGAGACTGAGGATAGCCCTGAACCCCAGTCCATCCTTTAGCTCTGTCAGAAACGCAGCTGTAGCTTCTTCCTTGGCAGACGCAGCCTCTCTGGCAGCTTTTATATTTCTCAGGCCCAGCCTGCTCCTGGGTCTGTACAACCACCCTTCAGTGCAGTAACTGGCAGGTGTCATTCATCTCTGGGATCCCTGGCTGATACAGGCTCAATACTTTCTGGTGCAAATTGTTGCCATCCATCGGAACATGTTTTCTATGTGTGTTTTCCACCCCCAAATTTTTCCCTCTTTTTTTTCTTCTTTTTTTTTTTAAGCTTTTTAAAAATTTATTTCTGAGAGGAAGGGAGAGTGTGAGAGAGAAATATAATGATGAGAGAAAATCATCAATGGGCTGCCAATGGGGATCAAACCTACAACCCGGGCTTGTGCTCTGACTACGAATTGAACCGTGACCTTCTGGTTTGCAGGTCGACACTCAACCATTGGGCCACACCGGCAGGCACCTTTTCCCTCTTAACTAAGCACTTACCACTCCTGTGGCTGTAACGTTTGCTGTTGGAGGTGCGACTGCAAAAACAGGCACGAATTTCTGGTTCTCTCTTCCAATTTCATGGATAGAAGATTTGTTGTTACCATAGCTCTTAGCAACCACAGCAAATGATTTTTTTTTTTCTTTCCTGACTCAGTTGAGAACTTTGACCTTTGTACACTTAAAGGAAACGCTTTGTGGTTTCTCTGTGCCATGTTCCCGTTGCCAGCATCTCCTGCGCTGTGGGGCCATCGTTAGTAAAATAAGGCTTTCTTAGCACAGGCACTGCCATACTGTGACAGCCAGCCTGATGGCAGAGGTGGCCACTGAGTGACTGACAGGTGGGGAGACTGCACAGAGGGGAAGCTCAGGACAAAGGGGATTCATATCTCGGGCAGGATGATGCAAGAATTCGTTATGCTTCTCAGAACGGCACACAAATTACCACTTCAGTATTGCTTTCGGAATTTTTTATTTAATATTTTCAGCTGCAGATGACTGGAACCGCAGAAAGCGAAACTGTGAATAAAGGGGGGACTACTGTAGGTATACTACTGTCAGTACTTTTCATTTTGTTAACATTTTTTTTTTTTTACCTTAATTCTTTGGATAAAGCCAAGGCGACAGGCTTTTCATGGCCCCCTAGTTTTTTGTTTTTGTTTTTTTACAGGAAAGTGTTGTATTAGTTCAGAGTATTTTGTTTGCAAATAATAACACTGGACTCTAACTGGGAAAATAATTATTTACTCACTGAGAAGCCCAGGGCTTGCACTGGCATCACATAACGCTGGATTCGGGGGTTTGAGTTCCTTTCTAGAGAACTGTGTGTGTCTCCATCTCCGTCTGCCACTCCTGTGTGGCTTTGCTCTCAGAGAGGTTCCTTCTTGCTGGGAAATGGCTCCTGGGCGTTGCTCCCAGGGAGAGAGGGGATGTCTTTTCTATTAGCTCGGGCAAAATTTTAAGGAAGGATAATAATTTAATCTTGTTAAAGACCATGTAATACCTGTGGTCAAGGTGCTTATCAGAACCGTTGTGTGATGTGAATGAAAACTCAGTGTTAAGAATAAATACCTTGTTAAACTAAATATTAGATATGGTTCTCAGAGAAACAGAACAAATAGGATGCATACACACACACACACACACATACATACACACACATATATATGTATATATATATATATATATATATATATAGAGAGAGAGAGAGAGAGAGAGAGAGAGAGAGAGAGAGAGAGAAAGAGAGAGAGCGCTCTATTGTATGGAATTGGCTCACTTGTTTATAAAGGCTGAGAAGTCCCAATCTGAGTCTAAGGCCTGAGACCCAGAAAAGCCTTTGGTGTAGGTCCCAGTCTGAAGGCTGGCAAGCTGGACACCCAAGAAGATCTGATGTTTCAAGTCCAAAGGCAGCAGAAGACCAGGGGCCCAACAGGAGGCAGTGGGAGCAGCAGGAGTTCCTGCGTTCTCAGCCTTATTGCTCTAGTTAGGTCTTCAGTGTAACTGGTGAGGACCGCCCACGTTAGGGAGAGCCACTGCTTCCCTGGTCTGCTGACTCACGCATTAACCTCCCCAGAAACACCCCGGGGACACACCCGGAGTGACGCCTGACCCACCATCTGGGTATTCCGCGACCCGGTCAGGTTGACATCACCGTACCTATCATAAATACCATGCATGACTCTCTAAACTATGAACTAACATCAGAGACCCATTACCTCTTCCCAGTGTGCATGCTTTGCTTTCTAAAGAAATGAACTTGTTACAAGTATTTGTGCCTTTTGTACGTAGAGGATTTTACTACCATTGATAGGGAGGCGGCATTTGGGTTATGAAACCTGGCTGTGATTGGATAGAAAGCGAGTGGGCACTCCAGGAAAGAACGGGGGAAGCCAGGAGGTGGAAGAGGCAGAGGAGTTGGCAGCGAGCTGACCAGCTTCTTTCCAGCAGAGGCTGCACGTGAGAGTTGCATGACATGAGCTTGGGAGAGAATGTTCTCTCTCTCCACCGGCCCGTTTGATATTCATGGACACTAATTGAATGTGTCTTATTTCACTGGCATATTTCTCGTTGCTGGAATAAAATAGTGAACAGGAGAGGCCCAGTCACTGCCTTTACGGAATGTACTGTTGGGTAGAGCCAAATATCTCAGACATTAGTCATATTTTTTTTTTTAATGGTAGAAATTTGTAGGTCGTGCAAATAAAAATGTTACTTAAATCTAAATTGAATAAGCATCGAGGCCGCCTGTCTTCACCGTAGGCTTCCTCGCTGCTCATCGGCCTGCCTGGGGACACGTGTCTTCGGAGACATTTTATGTGCTTCCTGTTCCTCTGCTTGTGAGTTTCTCAGTTCACACATTTAACTTCCCACAGCTCAGCGTTTCTAAAAATTAGAAGACCTTTCCC